CTACATTAATATTATTCATGCAAATTTGACTGCAGGCATGCAGAGAATGATTTTAATTAAAGTTTTTCATTTTTTTTCAATAAGTCGAATAAAATATCTAGCTGGCGCTAGAAGAACGAAAAAAAGGTTACGAAATGACATTTCAGTAGAATACCACGCTTCGAATATACAACCTTCATTTTCACGTATCAACATCATATATCTAGAACACAGGTCCGTGAGGCGTATCTGTGCACAAAGAGCTCATTTGCAGCGGGCATGTCGAGCTCACGACCTGCAACCGACGCTGCGCCCTCGTCAAGTCAGGCTCCCGGGAATACCGCAGACCGCGATTTTCTTGCCGGGAACTTCGATGCACAAGTCGGGAGAGCCGGAATTGCGTCCGGGTAAGATACATTATTGCCAACGGGGAAAATTCACTAGGTCTGCACATCCTCCGAAGGGAAAAACCTAATCTGGAGTTCACACAAAATGACCACGCGTGGTGCAAAAATGACCACGCAGGGTGCAGTGGTTCGTCGTATAGCGATGCGTATCGATGAGATCATAATGATTGTAGAAACTTAATTTGAGTGCTCTACAGGCTGTTTACCATATATGATAAATATCGCATGATATTAGTCTTGCAACTTAAATTTACAATTACGTTTGGTTGACAGAGGGTTTTTTTATAATTCATTAATGTCACCAACGCGATAGAGTGAAAAAACCCTGTGACAAATAATGAACATCTGTGACTTCACAAGTAAATGAACGGATCGAACTATAATGCAGGGCACGTGCAGCCATGGTTGTATTAATTCAACCATGCGTGCAGCCTTCTACTTCTTCCGCGTATGTTGATGCAAGTCTTATTTGCATGTATAGGCGTGGTATTTGAAAATGCTGCATTGATCTAACTCTGCAACAGACAATGGCCCCACTTTCATTTAAATAACTCACTATTGTCTTCTAAATAGAATATAGTCATAGAGAACACTCTCCCTGGTCATGTTAGACGATTTGGGTTCATTAACTTAAGCTTCTATCTACTATTTGCAAATAACAAAATCCCGTATTATCCAAATTATTCTGTTCGGCTGCCAATCGTAAACTGACAATGACTTATAAATATGCAGATTTTCCAGACTCACTCTTCACAAGAATAGTTTTGATACATTTCATGCTATATAGCTCACAAGATCCATTCCAAGCATATTGAGCCTTCCAGGATCGCACCTCTAACTTACCACTCGAAATTCGAATACAAATTTCATATGAAATGCCTGTCCATAGCGGCCTTAATTTGCACTGAGCCAACTTATTACAGCCACTTTATTGATATCATCGTTGCAATGAAGTTACACTTTTGCTGCCGAGTCATTTTAGCGAGCAGTGAATTGCAAGTTCACATTCAACGCGCCTTGCAGGTCCCTCCTGCAAAATGTTACCGCATTCCAAACAAAGTATTTCTGAGACAGACATGTTACCCGTAGAAGCTGCCCGGACGAGCAAACTGACTCTGGCATTTAAACACTTCACAGATATTATTTGTACTTAAACCAAACGTGAGCTATTATTTCACGAAGGTATCATAATTATTTCGTGCAGCTAGCTGATTGTAGGGCGAGTAAAATATTCCTCTATACAGGAAGAAGTATTGTGCAACAACGAACTTTTTGAGAATAACCAATAAATACACGTGTCTATTTAACTGTATTGCTTTAGCTTCGTTAGTTTACATTGCATCATTTAAATGTTATTTATTATTTGGCCATATACATTGCAATTTTTAGCAGCAATGAAAATATCCCAATAAATAAAGCCTAAATTACTTCCATCTGTTTTTAGCAAGGTTGTGTATTTTTATGAACTGCAGATAAGAAACTGGTTATTCGAAGGCAAGCGACCGCAGGTTCGTTTGTTAAACCTTTTGATGACGCCCGTGAGCGCTGCACAGAATACAATTAAAATTATGTTTTAATAAAGTTCACGTACAGGAAAGTCTTGCAGTTGACGGTACTATATGAGCCTGAGAGAAAAATTACTATAACGTCGAGCCCTTTGGCTGATACTGATTTCCATTAAACAGTAAATGATCCTATCATTCATTCGGAAAAATAACTCAGATTAAATGAAAAATACCAATTATTATTCAGCAAATTGTGTGCGTAAAATGGGTTTCTCGTAAATGATGCTTAAATGTTTTCCGACCTAACCATCAATTATAGTCACCACATTGAAAATACATTGAAGGAGATTTCATTTTCATTTCAACTCCATTTCATTATTACAGGACTCGGTCATTTACGTGTAAAAATTTTTTACATTAAATACGCCAGCAATGTTGTAAATTTGTTTCCGTACTCTGGGACATAGATCAAAAGCCTTTTCTCGAATTTCTCCAACCACGACTTCAAGAAGCTGCATTAATATTTGAAGCATGACTTGATCTTCATTGAAGATTTACCATTAAGTTTAGCCATGTGCAACCCGTAACGAGGAATAGTTCAGCTGTAATGGGACGTCGAGGGATTCTGAGCTGTTAGAGCCGCGGCGTTTGGCATTGAGCAAAGCTTGCTGTGTCACGGCTCGTGGGAGCCGCAGCCCTGCGGTGTCCGGCCAGCAATTACATTGCCATTACTCTCAATGGTCTTCTAACGACCAGAAAAAATTGATTTTCAGTTAAATTGTCTTACTTGGGTGCTGAGCTTCCACGAATGATTTTGAGGACGAGTGTCTGAATAGTACATTTTTGAAAAATGACCATAGCCGCGTACGTGTATGAGTTTCCGGGTCCAGCAAGTAATGAACTCCTGATCGCGCTCCTGAAATTTCTGAAATCTCTGTCACCGTTGCTAAGCAAGATGCAGAAATTGACTACCATAAGATTTTTAAGGAAGAGCGTCCGTTGAAAAAAAATTTCACAGTGATCCAGTTTCCATTGTGCAATAATGGAATATACAAAACTTAATTTGATACATAGTTTATTAAGTACAGTTCTTTTCTACGTAGTTAGGCTATAACATAATTGATCTATATTAATGCTGGTATTACGTGGATATTCAATAAAAGGATCTAGAAATTCAACAGGATAATTTTATCTCTTTCCATCAATGAGTATATTCTGCGTAAGTTAACCATCGAGCACAAGTCCAGGGGCCATACTTTCAAAACTCGCTAAGTGAACGTAAGTACTTACGCCTTATTTTCTTGTCTATGATTGGTGGATTTTGCTCAAAAGGCCGTCAATGATTGGCTGATGAACTTACGATCTCTTAACTTTTTTTGAGAGTATAGGCCCTGCAGGCATTTAACCTGCAGTCCTTACGAGCGTATGCCAGAAATATATCCCTCAGTTCAACAGCCGTAATAAATATTCTTATGAACAAGCAAAGAAAATAGCAACAAGAATGTGCATTGCGGAGGCCATATAGCATTTACGTATTCTCAGTGTTTTACTGATTAACATATGTCGGATTGCTTAGGTACAATTGTACTGAAACTCAATGCGATTATAACCTTGTATAATTATGCCGTCGGACGAGGGTTAAATATATTGTACTCACATAGAAAGATAATTAAAAACTTTAACTAAATTAAACTTATTCACTTTATGAACATTACGCTGCATTACGCAATAATTTATGCCATTTACACATATAGTAAAAACGCGAATATAAATAGAGCTGACTCATTCTTCTTGCTCATTAACGGTAATACAATTATTATGTGATAACTTCATGCACGCGATGCTATTGGAATACGCTTAACTTGTGTACGTGGGAGAAAAGTAATGGAGCAATTTCACCGACGACCTTCAGCGCTGTGAATCCTTCACTAGCGAAAAGTTGCTTGTTCTCATAACAAGATACAGGCGAGGACCATTTAATCTCATTATTGAAATTAATTCATTAAGATGCGTTGCATAAGAAGGCGGTAATATACAAGCAGCGCAATTCCATAGCTGAACCTTGAACGCCCAACAATTGTCGGCATGAAAATTCGTTTCCTTTTCTGGACGTAAATATAGGATTCATTAAGCATCGATATTTACAATAACAACTTTAGTCATATTATTGAAAATAATTCATCGTATTAATCAACTGAGCAGAATGCAATAATAAACGACTTATCTATTGAGCTTCTTGTAGTACCTGCAGGTGAATGAGGTAACCATGTAGGTGCTTCATTTCGTCAGAGAACAATGCCCTGAAATTCTTTTGTCAGAAACAAGCTCGTCGACTTCTCAGTAAAAGTACATACACTAATATTTACACATGCAATGTAATGAGACCCTCACACCATCTTAGTTAAGCATGCAGAGTGCATTCCACTATAAGAATAGAGATAGTTTCGTGACGCATTGCGTGACCATCGCTCATCAACTGCATATTGCCTCTATACGGTGTGTTCGACTGGTCCTCGTTGCGAGGTGACGCTCCCTGGATACATACAGAACTACGTATTTATTTCGAATGTTGGCTAAGCTGTACAGGGATAAACCTTCGGTGTTTCGTCTGCCAAGATATCTTATATAATACTTCATACAAATTATGAATTGTGAAAAATAAGTTTTGTTCTTCAGCAAATTCGTCCAGAAATTCACGCTAATCGTGCCTGTTGGTTGCTTTCCTAAAGCATAGAATTAGCTCAATTAAGATAATATCAATAATTCAAACGTAGTAATATCATTAAACATTTCTAAGCATACTAACCCTTATCAAAATAACGTCCCTAAGCAAAATGTTATCGCTCAGTTAGAAAAACGTGCATTATTCGTTTGAGTCTCAATTCCAGTTTAACGATTGATGCGTCGGCTGGATTGTTACCGTTTAATAACTGGCCACATAAGCCACTTCTAGTTATGAGTAATTAATTGTTCAATCCGTACAGATGAACTAAATACTCAGCACATTTAAAGAGGACATCCACCTTGAAACTAGCAAAGGGATTTCAGCAGACCAAGCAACACTCGTGCTTAAATGCGAGTCTGATGCAATTGTTGTCGCATGCAACCGATGCAACATAAGCTTAGACTGAAGGTTGTACAGCAAAGCTGTTCACATTACGTATGCTTCTTGGGGACAGACGATGGACAATTATTGGTTCTTAAAAGAGACGAAGAGGAGCTACAGATCGACATTAAGATCGATCAGCTGACGAACAACACAGGTGAGCACTTGAGCTGCCTCGCTTGCACTCCCTGCTGATTCTGCGCGTATTGTAAATTCCACGTGTATAATGGACATTCCTGTGAACACTATAGTGCCGATTGATTGATCTAATTAAGACATGCAATTATATTTATTTAACAACTTTCAATTGTTATATATTTAAAATTTAACGATTAAAAGACTATTATTTTACTCATTTTTTTAAAATAACCTACAGGTCATTGAAAAGAAATCTGAGTCAGGCTGCAATTGTTATAAACTTTTTATCTTGCTGGGTTGGTCCAACGTACTGAACCCCAACGCTTTGTACATCGATTTACTTAAAACTCTGACTGAAAAAGAGCCACCTTCTTCTCATTTCAATTTCTCCGAAGCTAGTCTCACGATGTCTAAATGTCTTGTTTCTTCATGCCCTGAAATTGTTGTAACTCTCAGGCAGGGCAGCGATGACTCAGAGCCTTCAACGATACGACTTCTACCTTCTTCAATTCGGACTTCTTCTCGCGGCATCCATGACGGCGCACTCCATGGCCATCAAGCGTGAGTTATACACGCAAGAATTGTCGCTGCATTAGATAATCTTTATCAAGTTTTGGCTTTATTAATATCAGTTTATACAGGTATTCTTTTTTTTAATTTGAAGAAGTTAATTTTGTTGCACAGAGTGGAGGAAAGAGATTTAGACGCTTTTTTTCATTTACTTAATGCAAGAGTAAACGAATTTATTATTAGTAACCTTTCTGACCTGGTTAAATAAGGCTTCTGATTTCTAGTAATAAAACAAAATTCTTCTTCAAACAATACTTTATTTCCGAAATAAAATTGTGCACCGAAGTTTTATTCATCAGTGGACTCTAGACAAATGTTATGTGGAAGTACTTTTATCGTGGAATTGTTCATCATTTTCAAAACAATTCTATGATAAAATTATAATTCTATATGGAGTTTAATAAATATATAAACGCTGAAACCGCTATCATTACTATTATTATTATTATTATTATTATTATTATTATTATTATTATTATTATTATTATTTTTATTATTATTACTATTATTATTATTATTATTAAATGATTTGGCAAATTTTGTCAAACGCTTTGGCAAACACTGCATCCACTGGCTCCCTTTCTTCCAGCATGCGAATCCAATCATTAACTATAGACCAGAGGTTAGTGGTGCAGGATCTACAAGCAATAAAGCCATGTTGACAGTCTTATTGGACATGGTTAACAGACAAGTGACGATAATCCTACCTCTCTTATCAGATTCAGTTACCTTACAGACAACACTTGTTAGACTGACAGGACGATATTATAGTTACCGGGGCTACTCCAATACCAATGTTTCTGGGGACTACTTTTTTGAACATTGGTATTTCAAAACCTGAACAATGGTATTACAAAACGCTGTAGAACCTTTAGGATGCTTTTGGGGACATTTTTTTGCATTTTTGGCAATATTTTTTCAAAGTTTTTACACTGCGGTGCGACTTCACTTAATTTCGAGCTCCTGCACACAGGTTATAATTACCATCGCTGCGAGTTCGTAAATAACGCTTGTATGCTTTCTTCTTGGTCGTCGGGTTAGCTATAACTGTACGTACTGTTCATCCACTGTGACTTGTTGACTTCACCGAGCTTAATTTTAGGTACACGTGCATCAACTGCGGATATGACCGTGTCTTTGAGAAATGACCATGAATCAGCCACATTCATGTCTTAATACAGTCCGAAATATTCACTGCACTCTGAGCATCATGGTGTTAACTCACTCTCTGCGAGTGAGTTTTGCACCCACTCGCCTCTCGCAAAGTTTAAACAATCGCGTCTTTTCTGTATAGTACTTAATACTGAAAAACGGTGATTGGTGATGGCTTTTGCCCAACGAAGCTCATGTAAAAATAGTGGCGAAGCTCATCTAAAAATTGATTTTTCGCTGGTAAACGCAAAATCTAGATATTTGGGATCTGTTCATCCCTAAACTGGGTTGGTTTTGTGGTGTTCTGGATTAAAAATGAATCTCGCACAGACTCCAAAAACACGATGCTAGGTGATTCCCACCCCCTGGAGAGGATTCATCTGCCCATTTCATTTCTGGATACTTAAAGTCACCATGCATGATCAACGTAGGCGACCTACTGAAAGCCATGCTGGGTAAAATGCTGTTTAGTACTTTTTCATTATCAAAAGAACTTTTTGGTGATATATACACTACCCTATTCTTGCCTTTTAAAGAAAGTTCGCACTACGCTGATTCTCTAGCTGATTGGTGCTCTGGAGATAACTTGCTAAGCCCCACAAAAGGTTCTAACCCACAGAGCTACACCTCTCCTGCACTGCTCTTCATTTAAGTTATGAAAATAATCAAAACCTTGCAACCGAAATTGAACAGGTACAATTCCCCCCGTAATTTTTAGGGAGCGTTTTTTTGATACAAACGATGTTTATACACTCGTTACTATACACTTTTTTCGTTCAAAACGGAATCCGAGTTCGTGTAAAAATATTTTAAAACTTTCTGTGCACTTTCAATTCGATGTACGAAGTTACTTCTTACATTATTTACAGGACTGGACATGACTCATACTGTTTATTCGTCCTTCAGATCCTCTGACTGACCGTGTGCTGTTGGTGTTGTTTTGAAATCTTGAGAATGGTTTCCGTGTTTTTCCTGATTTTACGTGCTTTTCCGCTTAATTGTCTCATGTACTGGAGTACGGAATTACTCCATTAAAACATATAGTTGTATTACTTTCTGAAAATTGTTTTTGAAACAAACTAATCTATCAAAATTTAACTCAATTTTGAAAAATAGGTACTGCTGCGCTTTCTTCGTTTTCATCTGCCAACGAGGTGCCCAGTAGCGGACAGCCATGGCTGCAGCAGCCCAACTTTCCGGCGGTTGCGACTCTTACCACGTTCCGGAATTTTCATCCCGACCCAAACCGAGGCGGAAAATCGTCCCAGCATAGTTTTTCCCGAACCTTAGCAACGCCTTTTGAGATTCAGCTTCCTCGCTCAAGCTCGACCTTCCCTGCAACTTCTAACTTTCTTCCTGTATATCTTAATAAGAATTTGATATCGAATAGGAGAAATGGTTTGGGCTCGAACAGACTGTCAGAAAACCCGATGTTTCATAAATTTCCCGGTAATCCCGCCTTCAGCAGAACAGGAAGATTCATTGTAGGTACAAGTGTTGGAGGCAGCGATGTTAGATCAGAAGTTGATGCCATGAGTTCCAGATCTCGTAATCTACCAAAATCTCCCGGGGTTTTCAATGCCTTTCCGACACCAGTCAATCAAAAATTAAAGAATCAGAACAGTATATTTCCAGCTCCTTCAAAGTATAGACACAGAAAACATAACTTGGGTTCTCATAGGTCAGGTTTTGACGAACCGAATTGGATTAGTAATGAGGGAATAGTGAAAAATTCATTCTCATTATTCGGTGGTCGCCCGCATGAAAACATTAACCGCCCGAGATCGGTTTCGTTTGTTGCCCCCGGTACCTCTTCCTTTTCCGAAAGAACATTGAATACACATGGCTCATCCAGAGCCCACACATCAAAAAATTTGCGCCATAATTGGTCATCATTCAAGACTGACATGAAAGATCATCAAAATTCTTTGTCCCGAGATCAAGCTTTCCCTGGACGCGGATTAATTTCCAGGAATAAAGAAACTACCAAGCGTGCAGCACCGAATTACGGGCAAACATTTTCACGGATAAATTTGGGTGATGGAAGATTATATGTGGATTCTGATGATTTTGGACATGAATATGGAAGACCGGAAAAAACTCAAAAAAGACACCAGATCAGCAGTACTACATCGTATTTTAGAAGACCAGACGAGAATAAATATCCGCTTCTGAGAGGTAACTTTGTGGGCGATAGAAAGTTTCTTAGAAGATTTTAAGTGAAAGATAATGTGCGCTTTGCAGTCTACTTCACAAGTTATTAGTGAAAATATAGACAAATAAAAAATATTTAATTGGAATCGATAATTGTACAGTGCAGTTTATATTAAAATGTGATTGCTTTCATGATAGTGAAATCATACCGTGTTTGGCTTTATTAAGCCTGCAGTATATTAAGAAATAATTAGGATCTGGAAAAAAATAATAAAGAAAATATTTATGATATAAGTACCCGCAAATTACTCAATCGAAAGAACTCTGAATGAGCCCATGGGTTACTAAATATGAATTTATGGTCCGTATTTATCTAAAGGATAAGTTTAAACTTCGTTTTTCGGAGTGGTTTAGGCAGCATGAAATGCCTAATTCCGCCATTAATTACCAATTTTTTTCCATGGCTAACCATTCTCTTGTGTACAATAGCTTGAGAAATAAAATTAAAGACATAACTCTTAAGAGCCTCAAGTCCAAAGTCACTTCGTAGACTTATCCACACTTCACTCACATATATTATTATTCATCATAGGCGTACTCCACACATACCATCTCTCCACCTAACCGTTATCACTAATCAATGCTTGTTAAAGAGGTGAATTTTTAACCCATGATTGCTCATGTTTACTGACAACCTCATTTTGATTTTTTTAGTTGGCAGGCCCTTTCATAATTGAACTCTTAGTTAACTTTCGGATCTTGCTATACTTTTGAAAATAAGTATTTAGTAGGACGTAAAAAGAAGTTCCACACAAAATTGCTCCAATTTTTTGAATAGATTATCATCTTTATACACGAGTTCTAAACATCTCGACGACCATATTTAAACTAAAAATGCATATGTGGAAGTTAGTTTTGTGTTAATTTAAAGCCTTTCCTTTCGATATAAAAGAGCGATTCAATCGCCTATCCACATTACCAATCGGCCGTGATGTATCAGAGCCTGAAGATTTTGATTTTTGGTGGTGGTATCATGCACCGAAATAATATGCGTTTAAAAATTACTTTTTAAAGACAACACTTCTAAAGAATCCAGTACCTCCGATGTTACAAATGTACAATGAATTTCTAATGTTATTATCAAATAATAAAAAATTAATTTTTCAATTTAATTAAAAAAAATTGGCTACAAATTACTTTACAAATTTCTTTCTAGTGGCTACAAATTACTTTCTAAGCACCCACTTCTAAAGAGGCCGGTGTCTCCGATGTTACATATGAACAATGAACTTCTTATTATATCTTTATTTAAATATTTTAAAAAATAATATTTAAAATTTTTAAATTAATTTCTTTATTATGTCATTCGATTCATGCATTGCCTCCGATTTTACGCGCAAGTGTGCAAAATTTGAGATCGATTGAACGAGTAGAAATGTGTTGAATATCAATTATAAGAAATTGTAGGAGATAAAATTATTTTTTAAATTTGTTAAATTATTTTTTTTTTAATTTGTAAAATTATAAATTCTATCAATTGATTCATGCATTGTCTCCAACTTTACACAAGTGTGCAAAATTTCAGATGGATTGGAGAGGTAGAAGTGTGTTAAAAATCGATTAGGGCAACATGGGCAGCGCGCCCCCACTTTTTTTAAACTAAATTTTTGATTAAGTTTTAATTGATACGAGGTGGCTCTTTGTTTTGTTTAAAGGTGCAACTAATGAGGAATGTATGATGTGAATTAGACGCCTATAGAGTTATTCAATTTTTAATGAAACACTATTTTGTAAAAAGTGTCAAAATGGGCACATTGCCCACCCCTGGGGCAATGGGCCCATGGGCTTGGGGCAAGGCGCCCACCCTTGGTCCCTTTACCCTAATTGCATAATTTTCGTTTAAAAATGATAAATCAACACTTTACAGTTGAAAATAAGAAAAAATGTATTTAAAAATATGACATTCATTCATTTATTAACAAGCCAAAAAATCATATCCTTAACATGAAAAAAATATACCCTTGGCTTAAAAAATCTATCACTGACGTGAAGAAAAATATTTCATTGACATAAAAATATATATCCTTAACTTGAAAAATATATCCTTGCGATAAAAATTCGTCCTGACATGAAAAAATGTATTCTTGACTAGAAAAAGTATATTTAGTGGATCAGAAAAAAACTTCGTTCCAGTTTTGCCCATAATCCAGATATTATGTGCAGAGAATTCGTACCTAATCGTGATTTCAGCCAACACCATAAAAACTCATCAACTTTTGGCTCATTTGTGTTGACTGAAATCAACTTTTGGCAAGGCTAGAGTCAATAACTCGATAAGGGGTCATAAATACGCATAACAAGAAACTAAACCTGCTGCCTTGAGGCGGCAAATCGAAAAATCATGCAATATGAAGTGTGATTGGTAATTCAAAAGTTAGTCATAGTTTTGAAAAGGTCATTGAGACAAATCTAATGATGTATAACACAAGACTTCACCATGGGCGCTTGGCCCCGTGACACGCGTGGGCCCGTTGATCCCACTAGGTATCCTTTCAATTTATATCGTGTAAAATTTTTATTTTAAAAGCTAATAGTCTAAACTTGATCTCAAAATTATCCCTATAAATATTACTTTCAAAATATTATTCACGGTAATTTCAGAAGCTTCATCTATAGTATTCGAAAACAGTTTTATTTAGCAGCAAAAAAAAACCTTTATCTGGGCTGAAACAGTTATCCACAAATATCTTAATAACGCAAACACATAGCAAAACGTACACTTCATCCCAGTGAAACTGTCGTCCGGCGGTAGAGAACACGGACCAATATCTGCAATACTTAGCGAGAAACCCGCTATGGGCCCGTGACCCGCAGTGGGCTCGCTGCCCCATGTTACCCTATAGGATTTGTAGCAGACAGACAGACAGACAGACAGACAGACAGACAAACAAACAAGAAGTTAAGTTAAAGAGAAGTATTGTAAAAAGGGAAGATGAAAGTGCATTGAGAAACTTAGCTGTAACTTTTTGTGGTAGACATATATTTAATTCATAAATAAATAATGAGAATTGAAGATAATTCCTTTGTCACTAATGTTTACTGAAAACCTACCGATGTCGGGAAAGTGCTTAATGAAGAAAGTGAATGCCCTCAGCGCTGTAAAACCAGCAGCACAGTGCGCGCTCTCATACAAAGAGCATTCAAGACCTGCACATCCGAGAGTGATTTGAAAACTGAACTCAGATCGTGTAAACAAACTCTAGTCAATATTGGTTTTTCAAATAGAACAGTTAACACTGAAATATCAAATTACAGATCGAGAGAAAACCGAACCAACAATGAAGCAATATCTAATGGAACCCCCACAACGGTCTTCTACCAAAACCAGATGAACAGAGGCTACAAAGTGGATGAACGAGTCCTACAGTCAATCATCCATAATAATATCAACAGCACAACGGATAACGAAAATGTAAAACTTCTGATCTACTACAAATATAAGAAAATTAAAAACCTTGTAATAAATAATAATCCCTGTAAAAAATCTGGTCTGCTTCAAGAAACTAATGTTGTTTATAAATTCTCATGTAAAAAAGAAGGTTGTAGACTTTTTCAAACATAAACTACATTGGTCTTACTGGCACGACTTTAAGCCGACGACTCACATGCCACCTACAATCTGGAGGACCTAAGTACCACATGCGGGAGGCTCACAATGAGACCATCACCCGAGCGACATTATGGAGGCCTGCACCAGCATAGTTATGCGGTGCCCTGACCCATCGAGACTGGCGATAGCTGAGGCCCTCATTATCAAGAGCGAGTCTTCCGCTATCAATCTACAAACTACAGGATTTGTCCGGACGATGAAATTATTTTCAGAGTAATTTTAAGCTAGTATTTTAAATTGTGTCCACTATACCATTGATATGTACTACTGTCATTTCCAAAATTCAATTTCAAGTGTTGTAAAACCTTCACCAGCATGATAATGAAAATTGTATTTTCAAAACGTCGCAATCTATTGTAATGTCATTTGGAAACCTGCTTTTTGATCTCCCGGCGCCAGCAAGAAAGTTGGTTCGACTCATTGAAAAAACGAACAAGAAGATTATTAATTAAAATCATGCTCTGGTCTTCAATAAAACTTGCATAAAATAAATAATGATTGCATAAATTCCAAAGCGGGTAGAAAATGGGAGTTCCATTATAAATGAAGGCTGGAATTTATTTTCCGTTAAATAACATCACATTGATCTGAAAATTATGAGAGGGATTATTGGAAACGAAGTTATAGGCAACATAATCATGATAATGGCCCGTATGCTAAATAGGGCACTAGCACTACGAAGTAGCACTATGCACTACGAAGTGTCCTGTTGGTATGCTAAATACGTCACAGACACTATAAGCACTTCGGAGTAGCTCTTCAATGTTTAGTGTCGCTTAGTGTCGCACTACTGATTCGTATGCAGAAAGACTTTGAAGTGCTACTTCGCTCTTAGAGTACTTTATAGTGCCGCACTACGCTATGAGTCTATTGAAAAATGGTAGTTAAGTGCTCAAATAATTAATTATTCCCTAAGTGATTCTCATTCTTTGCAGAAGATTGATGTAAAATGTCTAATTGTGATGGTATATAATAGTACTAGTGAAAATTGTGATGGTGAGCTGAAATTCGCAATGCGTCTGCGCACCTTTCCCATCATATATTCAAAGGCCACGCTTCCCAAAGACTTCGAACAAAAGAGAGAAGCATTGAAAGTTATTGCAGAAGAATTCAAAATGACTCTAGAAAAAAAATTTAAAACATGGTATCAAAAACAAGAAAAGTATTTTCTACTTCTACGCTGTTCATCTGTTTCGCCAAGGAAAATGTCAGCCATAAGAATAACATGTTATTCACTGAAGCGGTACACTTTTTTATATTCATGGCATGTAGTTCCTGAGGTTTTTACGCGATGATACCTTTGCTGTAAGCCAAACAGGTCCATAGCTGACGAAGTAAACAAGGTTAAATATACCGTAGTGTCGTCTTTAAGTGCTGGGTGTAGGACACTTCAGATTTTATAGTGCGCGTTATACTTTTTGCCCTATTTAGCATACCAACCGTAGTGTTCCATGCCGCACTATGGCTTGTAGTGCGAAGTGCTACTTCAAAGTGCTAGTGCCCTATTTAGCATACCAACCGTAGTGTTCCATGCCGCACTATGGCTTGTAGTGCGTAGTGCTACTTCATAGTGCTAGTGCCCTATTTAGCATACCAACCGTAGTGTTCCATGTCGCACTATAGTAGGCACTACGGCTTGTAGTGCGTAGTGCTACTTCGTAGTGCTAGTGCCCTATTTAGCATACGGGCCAATGCCCAAATATATTATGTAGATCAACACCGGGTTGAGATGCAAATGCATTGAATATTTGTGCAAGTTTGTTTTCGCGCGTGTGGAATAAGTAACATTAGGAATATATGATAATATGAAAGCCAACCGAGCGCGTATATCCCTCGTGTATGGATATTACCTGAATATGGGATTTCATTTATGTCATTAGAATGATGAGGCACTGACAATAAGTGGATCCGGAATTTGAAATCAAAATGCTAATTTTCTATATCTCGATTTGATGACAGATACATACGAACCTCTTGTAAATAGCCAAAAATATTGACAAGGTAGAATTACCACCTCGAAGTTCTGCAAGAGATTGGACTCATTGAGGACGTACAACATCCATCATCCAATCGGGTACTCTTCTTGATTTGGAAGCATTCAGATTTGGAAGCATCACCGACAGATTTTGGGATTGTTAATCCAAAAGTTAATGATGGTAAGAATATTAATGGGAACATTTTGTATTATTGCACTGTGCATTCATACGTGATGTTTTCAAGGAGTTTTCAATTCAAACGAAAAATTTCCCGAATAAAACAACGAAGTCGAAGTACTTATGTCTCGGACAAATTTACGGCCGGACTCGCGGCTTCGCTCAAGGAAAATGATTAGATTTTATCTTACTCACTATTAATTAAATGATAGGATCACTATTGGACCTCAATGAATATTGATTGTAATAAAAACAGTGCTTATCTACAATATTTTACTTTCAATACCCTTGATTGTAATGATTGAATAAAATATAAAATTTGTCCGTTCGTTAGATTTTCCATATTTATTCAATCTATTCATTTCCTCCACACCACTGCGCTGATATTTCAACCACGTAGATGATTACGTCCATAATTTCAACATCAATAAATATTATAATTCAATCTTTAGTGGTACCTAAATGTTATATGAACGGGCTTTGGAAACATTACATCACGTTCGCCACACGTTTGCAAGTGCGTTTGCCGGTTGATTTTCGCATTCAATTTACAGTTATCATGAGTGATGTGTTTGTGTTAGCCAGTTGCGGCATTTAGCGTGTTACAAAATAGAGCCGGACTTGGTGTACTATGATACTTTGAAAATTGGGAAATTATACTGTTAAGATGCAGCGATATTTAATTAACTTCTCATATTTTGGAACAAACTTCAGGTGAGTTTTATTCTTGCATCTGAAAAATAATGCTTATCGTCAGCTGGGCATGCATGCCATGATGCCATGAATGATGATGCCGGAACTGGTGAGACTCAGAAGTCAGAACTAGCTACGATTTGTAGGATTTGAGTAATTCAAAATAATTAGACACCGACTAGCCTACAAAGCAAAAGCTTTATTGATCACTCTAACATACTTGCTAATAATTAGCTACCTAGGTATAAAGCAGTGATTTAGCTTTGTTTGTAAATAGCTCATTTCTGATTTGATCATACCTAGGTATTTTGATGAATGCTGGTGACTTTAGTGCTGCACTGCTGCTGGCAAGTTTATTGGTATTTTTATTAATATTAATTTTCAAACATGTCAGTCCCAACTCAGGTTTCCAAATAAATATGGTCAAGAAACTTAATTAAAAATAATAAGTAAAATTTAGAATGTTATTTGTAATTTTAATACAAAATTCTTTTCTGTTCTCTTATTCTAAAATACCAAGTCCAGGCTCTAGGCCCAGGGTCCTAGGGATTTAGGCTGAACTGAAAATAACTGTCAATGAGTATTGAGTGAATGACCCATAAGACATAAGTTACTACCTACCTACTCAGCAACAGCAATTACTGCACTACACTTAACTTGTCACCTTTCAAAAAAATCATTTTGTAAAACTGGCCATAATTAAAAATTTTTAATGGTTCTACTTGACTTAGTTGACTAAGGCCTACAGCCTTACAGGCTACTTCTAATACACATAGTAATTTAGAAGCATTTTTGATGGAGCTAGCCTAGTAAAGGTGGGCTACACCATAAGTTCATAACATACGTGCTATACGTAGCTAACTAGCTAAGCCAAGTTGACAGATCTGTCTTTTTTGAACTAAAATTTCAGTATGCACAAAAGACCAAAATGCCAGGTTTTAGATTTTAATGTACCAACAGGTTTTAGAGTTTGCAGAGTTTTAATTTGTAACTTGTAAGTTATAATCAAATTCAAATTATTCAATATAGGTATGTGATAAATGAAGCTGTGATGCCTGTGAATGAAAATCAAACAATAAAATAAAAACTCTTTAAGTTGCATCTGCACCTAACTTATACATTACTTATAAATAAAAATTATGTAACTGAAGCCATGGTTTGGTCTAATTAAATATGTCAAAGTCATCTAAAAATTCTAAATTTTTTTCAAACTCCAAAATTTTTTCATCATTTATATACTGGTGAAATATTGTACGTTTGTTGGTTTGAAGCCTTAATCCAGAAAAAAAATATATAACTCAGTACTCACTGCAGTGAGTCACAGAGAGCACATTTTCTCATCAACAAAAATGTAAAGTCATGGACAGCCAGACGGACATGACCAGCAGTCCAGCACAATTGCGCCTTTTTTTCTGTAAATGAGAAAATGTGATAAAAAGGGACTTCTTTGGTCCCTTGGGTACATAGTATCTGAAATTCTTATCATTTTAGGGTATCTCCTGTAGTCCTGTTTTTAATTCTTAATCAATTTTGGTATCCGGTTACCTTGAGAAATTGAGAGGAGAATTAGAATTACAAATAAAATGAGATTATTGTGTTGCCAAGTGTAAACTTTTTTGATTAATAAGTTTAATTTTCCTATTGAATTTCATAATTGCAATTTTATTGGATTTCCTTGTGTACTGTGGGTTTGAATTGGTTTTTCTTTTGTTAAGTACTGCCCTCTATGGTACTTTGGTTTTAAAATTAATCAATGGATTTGGGGTGCTAGGATTGAAATAACAGGATCATTATATTCTAAGGATTGTGTATCTAGGGCAAAAGTGGGATAAGCTGCTAGTAAATTACATGGTTTTGTAGTTGTTGTTAGTTGCCCAGGATTGCTGCTCAGCAGCACTGCCAAAAATGACACGGAGGTAGGGGTTGCGGAGGTTCCACTCCAAAGATGTCAGAGAAGGGTGGGAGTGATGAGAGGAAAGCTGCAGTTGGTCCAGGGTTAGACCAGAGGTCCAGTGGGGTAAGCAAGGTGGGATGCAAAGGGCAGCTAATGAGGTGATGGGTGGTGTGATCTATTGTGCTGCACTCAAGGCAGAGAGGGCTATTAGCTGCAACAATGTAGGCAAGGTACGAGTTGAGCCGCGATGAGTAGCCTGAGTGGAGCTGGGAAAGGGCGCTTCTGGCCGCCCTGGGAAGGGATAGCTCGCCTGATGAGACAGTTGGGGCAGGGGTCAGCAGCACCTTGTTGGGAGCTGCTGAGGCCAGGTAGGAGGAGACAATGGAGCAGTGCAGGGTGATGAGGGCAGTGGAGTAGTTGTTGGGGGAGGGATCCCTCCTCCAGCAGGTGAGAGACCGAAGGGAGGAAGCTGGACTGGAGCATATGCTTCATGGGACGGGGCCCCAATGTCTTGAGTAATTCAAAAAAGTGACAAGTTAAGGGTGACGATAGGGTAGCTGGGATGGTGTGGTCAAAGGGCACTGGCAAGGTACTGTGATCAGAGTAGAGAGAGGTGTTCAGATATGGGTAAGACCTCAGTTTTGCTGTGCAGGTGGGAAGCAGAGGCCATTTGAAGAGATCCTGTGGCTTTTCAGAGGTCAGAGTTTGAATGGTTTGCAGCTTAGAGATTGCCAAAGGAGAGGTGTTGGAGAACCACACTGGGGCAGTGTAGGTGATGAGAGACTTAATAAGAGCCTTGTAAGTCACCAAGAGGGTTTCCTTCTGCTGTCCCCTGCTGTTTCCGGCAAGGGATTTGAGGATGTTGAGGCGCGGGCAGGCTCTCTGACATATTGCAACAATATGAGGCAAGAAGGTGAAGTGTGCATCAAAAGTGACTCCGAGGATCTTTGGGGTCTGGCAAAGTGGAAGGTTGGACCCCTCCGAGCTGACATGAGGGTCTGATTGTGATTGATGGGTGTCGGAGGTGAAGAGGGTAGTGTGGGATTTGGGGATAGATACGATAACCCCTACTGACAAGCCCATGCCACCACATCGGAGGATTGTGAGGAGAGGACTGCAGACGTGTTGGCAATCTGCATGGCCCCGCAACAGCTGTGAAATCATATGCATAGGAGGTGATTAGAGGGGGGGGGACTGGGGGAAGTCTGAGACATAGGAATTGAAGAGGACGGGCAAGATGACAAAGCCTTGGTTTTGTTGGTGTAGGTAGGCTATGGTTGCTAGAAGGCATTTGATTTTTGTAGAAATTTTAGAGCATTGACTGGCCATATATTATATTATGATAATCTTTGTGTGCAGAGGCATTCAAGTGCAAGGACTGCGTCACAGTGACTACAAAACTGTGCAGGGGGTGATAGAAGCTGGATTACGGTTCCTGAAGCCTGCCAATGATCCTATCACTCATTCATCATCTCGTACTGATGCTGGTATTGTATTGGAGTAATTGGACATTTGGAGATTTGAATGTAAAACAGGCTTTATAGTTGTCTGCATTAGGCCAAGTATGCTTCATTCGCTTAAGTATCATTGTCAGTAATGAAAATTTATCAATTTGTTTCACCTCAACCCCTCATATTGCAACATTACACACATAGGACATTCTTCATATGTGTAGTAATTAGAAGTTTGTACAATTCAAAAAGGGTACCTATATATAATCACATATGTTTTAATCCAATAGAATTGCCTTGCACTAAATTTTGTTCCTGGAAAGTAATGGGTATGTATGTCTAAGTCAATTTCCTAGTATGAATTTCCCAAAGAATTATTTTTGTGATGCTGACTGCAGCCATACTGCTGTGAGTTTGTTGCTGCTCAGAAGACTGTTAGCAAATTTCAGGCCATTTTCTCTATTGTTGAACACATGAGGTTTCCTTAAATTTCAATGTATGTATAAATTCCTGTAATTTTGCAGGTGTGCATGCTATCTCAAATGCTCTCCATGTGGACTTGGTACCTAGTGACAGCAAGCCTTATGACCCAGACTTTATTACACATCACCTCAACGTCTTCTTCAGAAAAGCTGAGGTCAACATCAGGTGATAACAGCTATCATAAACTGGTTTCAAAATTAGATTATCACAGTTATACCTTATCATTCTATTTTATTTTAGTGTTTTCTAAAGTCTAAGAATCACGAATAAAACTACAGTTCATCACTACTACTTCATTTTGATTGCTTGGTTTAGTATCCATAGATCTTTAAAATTCCATTACAAATAAATCTGCACCTGAATTAAATTATTTTTAGCTTCTGATTTGGTTTATCCCTCATTTTCCTGAATTATAATTACCTTCATTAAGTTTAAGTTTGTAAAATAATTAAATAAAACATAAAGGAATAAGTAATTCCTGTCTCGACTGCTACTTACTTTTAAAATTTTTTGTTCACGTTTGGCTTGTTATGCAGTTGCTTTATTTTCCACTTGTATCTTACCTTTTGTACTTGATTTAAATTTGGAATAACTATCATATATGTTTTTCAGAGTTCAGAATACACGTGTTGTGTCCCCCTTCATGAATGCTCGCCTTCACGCAGCCAGGCGCCACTATGTCTACAGACTTGCCTTGCTAAAGGACCCCATTGTAGACACCAGCGATGCCATATTTGCGGAAAATTTCATCCCTCTTGCTGAATTGGATAGACTCCATGTGATCAGGTAAACAATCAATGTAAAACTGTAAATGGAATGAAATGCAATTGCTAACTTGGAGTATAGAACAAAAAGTTTATGGGTAGATCAATTCAATGACGACTGGTAGCTTAATTGAGCCGCTTCATTCTATTTATTTTTTTTATACCTCTTGCTTCAAGTTTTATTTGATGTTTTTGTGCCATTTTCTTGAGATAATTCAATTAAAATGTAGATTTTAATAACTATTTTTAAAGATATTTTTAAGATAATCGACTAAAACGTTTTTGGTAGTTCTTCAGATGTGTTGATTAAAATATGTATACCTAAATGTTTAATTATAATTAAATTATAAATATATACCTAAAATTAGTGAGGTGGAAACATATATGTACTAATCCAATGAAATTTATTGCATCATAGGAATCCCTTGGACGTGGAGGTGTTGAGGCAAGGATGCGCGCTGATGCAAAGAGAAGCTGACTTTGCAAGTTTCATGAGCGTCGCAATGAAACACTCGCCTCTTCCCAAGAACACTATTAGGAACTTGAAGGTCTGCTTGATGATTGATCATGTTCAATATTTGCTTGAGAAAAATTAACTAGGCTTTAAATTTCTCTGATATATGTTTCATTCTAATTTTTAGGCTCCTAATAAAATGTATTGTAATTCTTTTGTTTACCTAAAATTTTTGAATCACTGATGTTCTAGCGGCATGACGGCTTTAATTATTTACATAGATTTTCTAAAATGTAATGCATAGGAGTGATATCACCGATAATTTTTTTGCTAATTTTGTTGATGATGAAAAAGTTTACGTTAATAATGTGTGAACTACAAAATATGAACTTATACATATCTTGAAAATTAACATTTTTGTATACCTATGAATACGAATATGAACAGCAAAATAAATTTATATAAGAACCAACCATGCATTAGTGGTTGCAGAGAAAATTTGACTTGATGTGCTAAAATTTTGTTCTAATTTAGAAATCTGTGTTCTCTCAGGTGGAGCTGCGACCAGGCCAGCCTCTGATGAACCCAATTTACGACCCGACGTACAATAAGCTTCAGCTCTGGGATGTGGCGTTCACCAGTCAGTCCTTCTTATACAATCAGGTAGAGCATAGCAATTGGTAACAGTATTAATTTTTAATGGTTGAGTCCATACTGAATGCACTCATGGAAAATCGACTGCCTACTGCCTCAAATAATAGCAATTTATTTGCTAAATGAGTGAAAACGTCAGGTTTTCCATTCTTTAATAGAAAGAGCACATTTTTTGCTTGTCTGTGGTGTTGGGTTCATCGCAGCGTATGCTACCAGCCATCTTTTTATTATTAAAACGTTTTTCTTAGCTTAGCTTCGCGTTTGTTTGTTTGTTGTTAAAATTGACAACGAAAATTGGTCCACTTCTGATTGCTCTAGAGATCTGAAATTCGGCATGCAGGCTATTTTCGCCTAACAATTTCAGATACAATCATAAAAACTTGCAATTACAGACCTAAATTAGCTTAATCGAGTAAAGTATATATATATAGTATGACATGCGGGCGCTCACATTATAGACGAGCAGGCGCTGACGCTGCGTATCATCGATACGCACGTCAAATCATGCTTTTTAGTCCGCGCATCAACGGACTAAAAAGGAGAAAATAAAATACTTAAAAATACTTTTTTAAAAAACACGTTTTTCTTGTGGACTAAAAAGTAGAAAATAAATTATGGCTCGCCCCAAAAAACGTGGGTCGGGCTGTACGTTCACCATCAAATTTCCAAAATTTAAGTGTTGTGTGCTTTTCGCTTTAATCATAAATCTGCCCGACACACGTTTTTTGGGGCGAGCCATAATTTATTTTCTACTTTTTAGTCCACAAGAAAAACGTGTTTTTTAAAAAAGTATTTTTAAGTATTTTATTAGTTTTTATTTCAATTGCTTCTATTGTGAACTATTCAAATGGATGCAATTATTCAATAATAATAAAAAAATCAAAGAAAAAATGTTTGAACTAGGAGATGGGTCAACCAAGATGCTGACGAAATTGAGGTTCAATGTGTCTTTTGTATCCTGATTTGATGTAACGTTACTGTCATTTATGTCGCCTTTCTTAAATAGAAACGTCCTTGTTGATGTGCAATACTGAACTACCACTTGCTAGCAAGACCGGAACGGCTTTGGAGTTATTATGTGGTGAAGGAGCGATATGTGGTTCTGCTTCCGACTTTTATTATGCGTTTTTTATTAACGAACGACGAGTTAAGCTCAGTATCTGTTGAGCTGCAAGTTGTGTCATTGATGGTAGATATCTTGTGTGAGATTGGCTCTTGCTAAATATAATTGAAAGGCCACCTTTAATATTCATAGCTAATTTCAAAAATATGTTTGTGTCTATTAGGAGCCTGGTGAAGGGACTGATATACGTGTGTATCAACGATTCAAGTCGTGTCGTGATACTTACTTGGAATAAAATTTTATTTGCAGCGGAGGAATCATGCAACATCGAAAATGTTGGGGAGGGGAATTAGATTCAAAGTTTAATTGTAATTTTTAATTTTGTAAGTGTAAATTTTGATCGGAGAGACTGTCTCCAAATTTCCTTCCCATTGAGTTGACAACACGTGTTAAATTGGAATTGCATGATCAATTTGGAAGGTAACGAAGCTTCTTTTAACAAATCACGTTCCTTTTCAAACTATTAACTGGGTTCGGGAAAATGTGATTCGCGGTGCCGGGATCCGGGAGAACATGATTTTCAAATAGCGAGGATTAGGTATACAGGACAACTTAGTGCTGACCTGTTCGTTTGTCACACTATTGCCGATCCAACATTCCAGAAACTTGAACATTTATATTGGAGACGATTGATTTTTTTCTATTTGCATTTCTAATTACATTAAATTCGTCATTCTCAAGTTAAGCAACTATAATTATATCTGGGGACTAGCGTTGACTGGAAAATTTTGCGCTTTCTTCATGGCGTGTGACGATGACTGCCTTCAGATCCGGCGCTGCCTGGGCGTGATTATCAGCTTGGCTAAAGGCCTCATCACCACAGACCACATTGAGGACATGTTCTCCAACCCCCGCGTCGGCAACTGGCCGAGCGAGACCAGCAAGACTCCTGCTCACGGTCTCTATCTTCTCAAGGTTGGCTCCAACTTCTATTGAAAATGCTTCCAGATTAAATTAATTCGGTAGGGTAAATATTCGTGTTTATCGAATTGATGCTTCTCGTGCCAAAAGGATTTCAAGATGCTATCACATTTTTTACATGAGTATTTCATCTATTGCATGATATGAATTTCCTTATTGAGATGGAAGTTATTTATCTACTTCATTATTTTCAATTCATAGAATGAATGTGACTTTCATCAAGATGGCAGGAAAGCTGTCAAATTATAAGCTGTGTTTTTTAGGTTTATTCAAAGCACGATTTCATTCCGAATTTAGTTTTGTTTATTTTATTGCGTAAAAACTTTGCATTTTTCATAAGCTTTAATGATGAGGAAAAATGTCCGAGTTAATTTATGCACTAGTTAAAGTTTTGTGTTATAGACTTTTCGTATCGTCACGATTATCCCTCTTATTATCCACCATTAATAACCAAGTTTTTGTGCATCTCTTTCGTATCACTCCGGTCTGGTTCCTAATTTCCGCATCTCTCCAGTTGAATTATTACATTTAAACCTATTAACAGTTGAGTTTTTCGTCCTCGGATTTTATGCAGTATTTGAAGCACCGCAACTTGTCCCCGGTTTGATTTCAGGTCGAATTCCCGGACCACGTGCTGGACCTTCGCTTCGACGGCGGTGACCTGACGCCCGCCACACGCCTCTATGTGGACACGTCGACTCAAGTGAAGACCGCTGTGGCCCTGGGGCAGACCAAACTCATCAACGAGCCGCCCTCTCCTGCCGACCTATTCGCTCAGGAGTTGTCAGATCTTCCGCGAGATTCAGGACCGTTGTATGAAGCGACCGAGAGTGAGCCAGATGACTCTCCAGGGCTCTGTGATGACATTAGTGAAGCTTATGATGAGGATGAAGATTCTTCGTCCTGCCGTGAGTCTACAGGTGAAGGACACCTGCAGAGAGTTTCAATAAAGCAGAACTCTGATACTTCATGTAACGATGGCGTAGTTACGGGTACGGTACGATTAGTAGAGGATTTAAATAATACTGACGCAATCACGTCAACCGAGTCGCACGATTACACTAAGTGCAGGAATTCCTTTCTTTTGTCAAATCATAAGAAAGACAGCGGTGAATGTTTTCCTGGTCGGATGCTTACTCCCGATGGACATAAGTTATCGCGTAGCTTTATTAAAGAAAATTCTTATAATAGCCAAGACTCGAATCGGAATCTCAATGTCCATATTAGTGCATGCAGAAAAAGTACTTCGTCGAAGTCACCTCGTCCAATGCGAGGTTCAGAGCGACGACGTCTCCTGAGCCAAGCGTATGAGCTCGCAATGAGCCGCCGAGAAATTGACGATAGATTGGCAGCAGTTTTGCGCAGACTTATCGAGGCTGGTGAAAGAGTGAAGCAAGTGGATTGCAGCGCAGAGGGCATGGCTCGTATTGCTGAGGAAATTAAACTCGTCCAGCAAGACGAACGCCAGAGAAAGATTCTTCTTGCTTCTTTAGAGACTTCTAAACTTATGAACGGCCAGAGAAAGACTGACACCAGCGAATAGCATCCGAGACAAGTTTTGGATAGTGATTTCCTCGAATGGTGAATTCACTTTTTATTTATTTAATCTGTTTTCCCTGTTTAATTACGCCTTTTTATTCAAAACGCAAAAATACCTTTCTGCTTTTTTCTGCTAGCTAAATTCAAAACAGTTTTAAGGGAAAGTTCTTGATGTCTTAGAATGCTACATACTCCGATATGAGGTCCCTCTAAATCCATAAGTTTTTGTATTATTCGACTGAACAAAACCTGTTTTATAAGTAAATGTCGGAATGACTTCCTGTCTTTCTCTATTCTCCCTTGCGTCTAATATCAGTATATATAATATAAAATATAATTATAATATTAATACTAGATATAATATAATAATATAAATACTAGATTTCCGACCACGGAACTTAATAAATTGTAATCCGTAATAAACGCTGCTGCTCGACTCCTGTGCAATAAGCGGACATTCGACCACGTGACGCTGATATTGCGCGATCTTCACTGGCTGCGCATTCAGCAGCGCACGCAGTTCAAGGTCGCTGTTCTGACGTTTCGTTGCCTTCACGGACTGGCGCCTCCTTATCTCACAGAAGGTCTGCAGCGCGTGTCGGATCTGCCTTCTAGAAGACGATTGCGCACGACATCAACAGCGGACCTCGTCGTACCATCTACACGTCTATCTAGCGTCGGCGACAGAGCGTTCCCGGTCGCCGCCGCCAGAGCCTGGAACAGTCTGCCTGCTTCCGTAATTTCGGCTCCTTCGTTGCAGGTGTTTCGTCGACGCCTAAACACGGAACTTTCGTAGAGCTAATTAATCTAATGCTTAGTCATAATATCTGCCCCATCCTTTCTTGCGTCTATTTATTTTTCGCTTGCTATTAATCTTATATGTGACGTGCCCTCGAAGTTCGTTTGAACCAGACGCCACGATAAATGCTTTGTAGAATAATAATCAGCGAGAATTTAACCTCGGTGTTCTAGGTTTCATGCGGGATTCTAATTAGTTTTAGAAATCACTATGCGTAAAAACTAATGTTCAGTAAGTAATAGGTTTCGGAGCTCCAGCCTATTTGGAGATCTTTGCTTGAAGCTCCTGAATTGTATCGCTGTTTATCTCAGATCTTCGTGTCCTTAACATTAGTTAGTTGAGGTATCCCCATGGTTGGGACGTTGCAGTTGTTCCTAGAGTAATTAATTCGTAACAAGATGATGTAGTGCCAATTTTCTTGATCTGGAATTTTTACTTTTTTTATCTTGAGTTATTACTGACGTATCTAATGCACCAGTTTTTCTACTTATTGGACTTGTTTGATTAAGAAGTTGTAAACAAATTAGGAGCTGGCGTTGCATCAATTTTGAAAAACCTCTATATTTTTAGATCATATTTCCAACGCATTCTCTACCACGTTTATGCCATCAGTAGAGTTATTATTGAGGCTATGAACGTCGCACAGCGCGTTGTGCTGGAAGTGCTCGAGGGCCTCGTAGACGGCGGAGGGACACAGCCACGACAAAGTGCCCGGAGGACATGGGCATAGCAGCGGCTGCAGGGCGCGGCGAGACCGCTCGTTGTTGTCCAGCTCCTCCACTGCAGGAAGCTCGCCCAGATGGAACACCGTCTGGTGATGACACATGAGATCTCAGTTCAAATTTACTTTAAATTGCTTGGGGTTGGTATTTACAACACTTCTCTTCAACTTCACTTCTTGTCTGTCTGTCTGTCTGCTACGAATCTTATAATCGAAATTTAACACACTTCTACTTATCCTATCGATCTGAAATTTTGCACACTTGCGTTGGAGACAATGCACGAATCAAATGACAAAATAAATAATTTTAAAAATATATATATATATATATATATATTTTTTCAATATTAAAAAAACTGAAAAAAATAATTTTGTCTGCTACAAATCTTATAATCAATATTTAACACACTTCTAGCTGTTCAATCTGCAGACTTGCGAATTTAACACACTTCTTGGCTGCAGACTTGCGTACAGTCGGAGACAATGTATGAATCAATTGACAGAATAAAAAATTTTGAAAATTTAATTTCTTTTAAATATTAAAATAATTAAAAAATTTATTTTTTATTGTTAGGAATTAAAATTAGAAATTAATTGTACATGTTTTACATTGGAGACACTAGATTTTTTAGAAGGGTTGTCTTTAAAAATAAATTTTTAAACGTATATTTTAATGGCTCATATTTAATCAGTTTATTATTCTAAACCAAAAATAACAAGTAAAGTGTCACCAGTATCAAAGTTTCCTTGCTAAATTCGTTAATTTAAAACCCCCAATGTATTATATTTCTTTACAAAATTCTTCCTCGGTCTGTTCAAGAGGAAGCGCTCCAGTTAGGCAGATCCGCTCCACCGCGCCACTAACGCTGTAACATCGTCGATTGCTGGATGATTACGTCGTAATGTCTTTAATGACGTTGAGTCGACGTCTAATGATTGCTGGGATGCAATTTTAACAAATAATGATTGGCAATGTCGTTCGAAGAAATGCATTTTAACAGCGGCAAAATCAAAAGAACGGATATACTTCTGCTATAATTTTCCCGTAGAAACCTCACGCTAACAAATAATAGGCAGGCAATGGTGATGTTATTCTCTGTTTTCCTGCGTGATTTTATTCCATGAACACTTGACACGTCGATAGTAAATTATTGCCTAACACTTTATGATTAAAAATATTTAGCTATTTTCTTGTTTCTAACAAATTTTGATACCCACTAATACTAGTGCTGGATGTGCACTTCCACGCTTTATAAATCGCATAACATGGAAACGGAAAGCTTAAAATATTGACGTCGTTAAAAATTATAAAAAAATTCATCGACATTGTGGTGGGAAGTGAGGTGCTATAGATAGATGCTATAAACGTAAAATGAGAGTTAAATGTCCGCTATTGTCTGCTATTGCAATATACTATAAAAATGAAATCAGTGCAAAAAACAGTCACTCTTTCAGAAATAAAAACAATTTTCAGATTTTTTTCAGACCCGTGTAATCAAAGTTAAACTTGTAAGAAAAGCAGACTGGATTACCAGTTTTTCACGGTGCATTTTTGCGGTCGTTCATGAGTGACGGATAAATGATCGTTATACGTGTACGTTTGTATGTGGCGGATAGTTGATTGATTGGCGAATAGTTGACGAACAATTGATCGATTGCGACGAATAATATAATTGATCGTTTAATTCAATTCAATAATTGATCGTTTGCAGAAGGCGAATAGCCGATCGTATATATGTGGCGAATAACTAATCATGTGCACGGCGCATGTGGCGAATAGGTGATCGCTCACACGTGGCGAATAAGTGATCGCTTGCCCGTGGCGAATAATTGATCGTATGTGCATGGCGAATAATTAATCGTGTGCATGTGGCGAATAGGTGATCGCTCACACGTGGCGAATAAGTGATCGCTTGCCCGTGGCAAATAATAATTCGTATTTGATTGCAAATTATTAATCGTGTGCACGTGGCGATTGATCGTATGTGCATGGCGAATAATTAATCGTGTGCATGTGGCGAATAGGTGATCGCTCACACGTGGCGAATAAGTGATCGCTTGCCCGTGGCAAATAATAATTCGTATTTGATTGCAAATTATTAATCGTGTGCACGTGGCGAATAAGTGATCGGTTGCATGTGGCGAACAAGTGATCGGTCGCATGTGGCGAAAAAGTGATCGTTTTCTTGTAACGAAAAAATGACCTGTATGATTGACATAGCCTGCATGTGACTGATCGTTTGACATGACATGTGATACACGACATACGACATGTGACTGGTGAATGTCGTATGTATGTCGTGTATGTGAGGCTCCGCTAATTTTGTTTATAAAGACCCAATCTACAAGTGGTGGACGACGTCTGAGTTGCCCATCCATTGGCGCGGAATTAAGATTCAGTCACCATCAAAATGAGGGCACCACCACATGAGGGCAAAGAGGGCTCTTTTCTTTACATGAATTTAGAACATATTTTAAAAATCAGTATAGCACATCCAATCATTTTAATCAACGTGGAACTATTTAGCCCTGTTTTCGATCAATATTTAGGTAATGCATTAGATGAAAATTTATTCTATATTAAATTTATCCGAAAATCAGTCTACGGCCTTCTACAAAAAAAAATCCGAGTTGAGAATTAGACTTTCCTCAGTCGGATTCACAGAACATTAATTATTGTTAGAAGAAATGCATTAATGAAGGTTTGGTCAATGCATTTATACTCGTTCGATGTTTTATGAAAATTTGTGACAAATTCTGCATAAATTCCAATTTGTCCAATTCCAACCAAGTGTGGGTTGTTTTTAAATTTATATGCAAAGTCAATTCTACTTTCGATTAGGAAATGACGGATTCGTTGCAACTTGTCATATGAACTAAGCGTTTAAATCAAAGAAAACGCCAAAAAATTCATTTTGTCTGCAGTGAAAACTTAGTCCAGCTCCATCATCAGTACAAAAACTTCATTAATACGATTTGACCAAAATAGGACCTACAAATTGCCTAAGGAATGCAAAACCTATTGCATAGGTTTCAACGGTTTCAAGTGGATACGAACTCATAACATCGTTTCCTCAGCTGGCGTCATAGTTTAAAGAAGGTGATAGAGTACCACGGGTAGCTATAGCTATAAAAGTTTCACCACGATGGTATGCTGCTAATCTATCCACCGCAGCTATTTATAACCGTCCAATTGTCAAACTCCGAATAAGAGGATCAATAATGATTGAACCGTAACCGATGACGTGAGCCCTAGGGAAAAGAGCAGCCACTTAAAGTACTACTTTCGAGGTGCTACTTCAAGATCCCGAATAAATTTATCGAACTGAAACTTTAAACGCGTGCTGCGTCTAAGCTTTACCAGGATTTCTAGGTAGAAGCCGAGCCAACTGCCACAGCCAAACATGATTGAGGCTGCATCTTTCCATCACAGAAGACCCGGTGCGGTACTCAATAGTAGCTCTATCGTCTCCTTAGATAATATAATTATTAGAAATGATACATAAACGTGCGTTGATGCATACAATAGCAAGTGCGGACCCTAGGCCATCAAAGTTCTTTGATGCATCATTGCAAAAAAAACAGTTTTTGTATTCTTCAAAGTTCATCTTATTAACAAATAATCTATATACTCGATGAATCGATACTGAACTTTTTTTCACCGCGACATTGACAAATATATACGGCAGGCAAACTGTTTAAACGTTGTTAAGGCGTCAGCAAACTTCATTTCCTTTATAAATGTGACGAACTTGTTATGTCGGAACTAATTGATGACAGATGTTGTGTTTGGTGAGAGCTTTCAAAATAATTGGCTCCTGGCCGTGAAAAATTTAATCGATTTGCGGTAGCTATACGAAACACATAACGGTATATTTTTGTGTCAGAAACTGGCGATCATTTTCTGGATTAATAACAACAGGTTTGCCACAAATGTCAATTTTTTTTCAATTGAAAAGATGTGATTAAGTCGACGTAAAAACATTAGAAAAATTCAATTTCACCAGAAATACGTCAATTAAGCTTATGTTGATTGATTCACATCTGCAAATGGACACGATTGCGCTCAATGCCAGTTTTTATCACAACACTTCTCTTTAACTTCACTTCTTGTTTGTCTGTCTGTACGTCTGCTACAAATTTTATACTCGAAATTTAACACACTTCTACTTATCCTATCGATCTGAAATTTTGCACCCTTGCGTAAAGTTGGAGACAACACATGAATCAAATGATAAAATAAATAATTTTAAAATTATTTTTTTTTCAATTTTAAAGAAATTGAAAAAATAATTTTGTCAGCTACAAATCTTATAACTGATATTTGACATAGTCCCATTCCAATTGGACTATGTCCACTGATCTGAAATTTTCCAATTGATCCAATTGATCTGAAATTTTGCACACTTGTGTGAAGTCGGAGGCAATGCATAAATCAATTGACAAAATAAATAATTTTGAAAAAAATTCATATATTAAAAAAATTGAAAAATTAATTTTTTAATATTCGAAAATAAAATGAGAAATTCATTGTACATCTGTAACATCGGAGACACTGGATTCTTCAGAAGTGTTGTCTTTAAAAAGTAATTTGAAACATATATTATTATATTTCAAAATATGACCTTAAACATGAAAGTTCTTCATTCTTCAACAAGATCGTTAAATGTATAAAAGGGAAATTTCAAGATTCAAATGAGCTGCAGTATCGCGAGTGGCAGTAAATCGAGTCGATAAATTTCGTGTCAATTTTGTGCTTGCGCTTAGATCTAATCTTTGCCTTTATTTACTAGAATTAGAGTGTAAATGGAAGTGAAAGGAGAGCGAAATTGACCCTGAAGCCCCTTTCACACAGGGCAGTAGATACTGCGCGCGTCAAAAATGCCGCAGCAGTATTTACATCGCAATCTTTCACACGAGGCGCTTTTTACTGCTGGGATCTATCTGTCTTGCAGTGCTTTATGCTTCATCAGTCCATCTCTATGTTTATGTACCAATTTTTCTATATGGAAATCTATCTCTACGTGAGAATAATGTAAATACATCTCTATGGAAATACCTATATATTTTATGGAAAATATATCTTATATGAAATATATCTCTATCACTTCAAGGATATATATATATTTATCAATGTATATCTTTATGTTTATGTAACATTATTTATGTACCGATATTTATGTCATAATATTATGCTATAATCTATGTCATGCAGTGCTGTTTATTATGAACCTAAAATACGGCACCACTGTCTGCTAGGGTGCGGCGTCAAAAACCGCCCAATGTGAAAGATTACATTTAATACCATTGCAAGCTAAACTGTCGCGGCAAATTTACCACCGCAGTTTTAGCTTGACACACGCTGGCGTCAGGCGTCAAGTTCTACGCCGCGGTAAAAGCAGTCGTGTGTGAACAGCAGTGCACATTTCGTATGTCCGCTAAGGTTCGGCAGTAAATACGACGCTGTAAGTTCGGCAGTAAATACGACGCAGTACGTTCGCAGTACGCAGAGCCTACGACGCAGTACGCAGTACGTTCGGCAGTAAATACGACGCTCTAAATACGACGCTGTAAGGTTCGGCAATGTAAGGATTTAGTCATTTATACTACAAAATAGCGGTTATCCCGTCATTACGGATGTAAGTTTATTGCGGACCGGAACTTACTAGGGACGAGTTACTTTAGATATTAGGGTTGTTTACTTTACGATCTCATCCTCGGCAGAAGTCTCCTTCTGATCCATATATCATTTGTACATACTGATTGCTGCTGTAATAAATATAATGTGGAAACTCGTGATCTATCTCCTGTGATGTGTCAAAGCTGATGTAGAGAACCCAAGCGAATTACTACAGGCAGTATTGGACGCTGGCAGTATTTACTGCCCTGTGTGAAAGGGGCCTGACATAGAACCGTCTTAGATCCGCTGGGAAGGAATTCGGTTTGGCGTCAGACTCTCATTCCGCATGAAATATTTCTAAACGCAGATTTATCATCTGTAGAACAAATTGTATTTCGTAAATGCTTCAACAATTCCATGAAAATTTTTTTGTTGAAATTTGTTCTAGCCAGTACTGGGAATAAATTTTAAGTAAACTGTGGTGCAAATGCGGCATATTTTTATAAATGCAATTTATGAAGTATCCATACTTGTTGCTAGCTGTAAAAGGAGTTAACAACCATGCTTACAACATGGCAAACGAAGTAAACGACGAAGCCTAATAACCACACCTACGACATGGCAGGCAGATTACAAGGTGAAACCAATATATAACCGAAATAGCAAAATGGATAACGGCGTGTGGTGAAACCAGTAACCAAACTCACGACGTTTCAAACGAAGTATACGGTGAAACTAATAATCAAACTTACGACATGACAAACGAAGTATATGGTGTGCACGTATTTTTTGCACTGAACGGTGCTGTTCTCGTGCGTTGGTTTCGACAGGACCTCTTGGAGAGCCAGAAGAAACACCACCGAAGCCGCTGCTGCTCGCACGTTATTCACGGCTTGCGACATCTCTGGCAGTCGTGTCTCGAAATTCTTGCTCGAATTATATGTTGCGAGTTTCCTTTATCTTGTTTATCCAGATAATAATAAATTTATGGAATGATCTGATCGCTAAGATGACGTCCGTCTTTCGTTGTGCTTGAGCCACTATTTTTTCAGAATGATCCAGTTGATTAATTCTGTAGAACAAAGTTAGGATTAAATTTTTTCGTCGCTTCACCAGAGAGCTTATATTTTATGTAATTGTATATGTGGCTGACTTAAATTTACAATCGAGTTTTATTCCACCAAGTGAGAACCTAAACAAGAGCGATTCCAACACGAGCGTTCATTAACACCTATAGCAGCCGACAAGAGCCTCTATGCGACGACTATGTTAAACCTCTAATGTACCTACGCTTTGTGTCAAGTCGGGTTGTCAAAGGTTACGCAATAGCATCGCTTATTTGATGAACTTTCATGCAGAGTTTATGTTGCAATAGTGTAACATCAATGGCCGTATTCCATGAAGTGCTGCGGAAACAAGTCTTATTGCTGCATAAACATTCTCGGAAAACAAATATCATTGCAAGTGCAGAATCTCGAGGTGCAGCTGATTGATGCAAGCGCAATAAGCAAATACTACGTGGACGAAGCCTCGCGTTAAATTGTTTTTACTACTGATTTGTCAATAGTTTAATTTAATTACTATCAATATTGCATTGACGATCGCTTTAATTTAGAGATTAGACTGGTTTCTATTTTGGACACTAGCCACATTATCAGTTCAAGCACTTCGAGAAGACGAGTTAATCAATAGAACAACCTAAATAACACGCACAATATTGCCACCTTAAATACCAAAATAATCAGCTATAATAACTTTAAAACCAATTGACTAAGAATTTCCTACGGATAAGAACAACAAGTATTGTTTAGAAATTGCCGACGGGTGGAGATATTCAAAACGTTGCTCCTTTTTTTGGTAATCCGTTTTATAAATAACTTAATAACGCGAATGTAATATAATTGAATAATGTGCAACGTTAATTAATTTAATAATATAATTTTATTAGTTTTACAATACTATATGTTTTTCTTTTAATAGTTCTTGCATTTTTGAAGTGGTGATGATGGAGTTGGTGTACGAGACGTATCCAACGAAGGCAAGTTGGATTTGCTCGACATTTTCTTTCATCTAAAACTATTCATTAATTTGCAAATTAAAAGGCAATTAACAGTTTAGACTAAAAATAATGTACCTAATTAAAAAACTACTAATTTACTTGAAAAATTTTCATGACCACACGCATTACATATTATAAATGAATTTAAAAGGACATAAAACGCAAAGTGTACTACATTTTCATTAAATAGTAACGGTGATTGTGAATTATCAGCTACGTTCTCCGGTAGATTGTACTGAAGTCTTTTTTTAATCTCTGTATATTTCTGCGCGAAAACATTTGAACTACGATTTCAGTTCCTAACAGTTTTCCGTTACTTTATTTTTTAAAAGTCAAATTAAATTCTAATATCTCCTCTTTAAATCCAGTCGTACGAATTGGTAATGATTATATTCTTGAATCCGAAATGTTTTCGGATACCGAAAGCTGGTATCCGAAATGTTTTCAATGAAGATTTGGGTTGTTTTGGCATTGCCTTCATTCATAATTTTTTGCTTTATTTGCAATTAAATGATTTTAGAGTTTAATTTTTTTTCCAGAGGCTTTCTTCTAGTGGTACAAAAACTCGGCTAGAACGAAGGGCAAGAAAAGACTCCATAAAATGTGCTTTATAAAATAATTCTAGAAAACATAACAGTTTTAGTCATCATTTATTAAAACTTGTAATAACAAACAAAACGAAGCGTCAACAATGACCGCAAGTGAGAAAATTTGCACAATTATAATTGCTGGGACTACGACAATTGTTATTCCTCCATCGGGACTACGAGGTGATAAGTAAGATAAATACGTCATAATTGTCAACACGTTAAACCGTTATAAAACTGGCTAAAATTTATAATCGAAACTTATGTTAAATTTATAAATTTTGATCCAAAACGTATTCAGGTATAGAATTGTTTAATAAGTTCATCAACAATAATTACATGGCATATTAGTTTTGACTTTCGTTATTGGAAAAAACATGTTCCACGATTTTTTAATATGTATTGCAATTCAAAGGCAGCCATTCGCTACCATTAGCCTACTCTTGAGAGTCGACATTACTTGACATCATTTCGTTTCATTTTTAATTTAACCATGAGTTGCCATGCTACATGTTTTAATAACTATAAATCGTGTCGAATAATTGTGTGTTCTTAGCCATTTTTAATCACTTCGTCAACCTGAAAGTTAAGTCAAGCATTTACCAACTTTGCCAACAACTTTGCCATTCACTTTGCTCACAAATTTGCCATTTACCAACTTTGCAAAATATTGGTTCTATCGACATCCATATGAGTATTATACGTAAACTCGTCTCGTTGCTAGGGAGTAACAGTTGTGCTTCGGCCCAGCGCAGGTTCCTCAAGGAGCATCTGAGGTAGCGGCGTGAAGCCCGTGTTGCCGCCACACAACACCACGCCCGCCCTCTGCACGTCGGGGCACCGCTGCTTCAGCTGCTGCACCGCCGCGTACACCGCCGCTCCCGACGCGGCCTCCACCACCACCTACGACACCAGAAATAGTTTGGCTGGCTTTCGTGAGAGCATCGCTCACATTCGGCTGATTTAATTTGAATTTGCGATGGCATCGCTTAAATTCGGATGATTTAATTTGAATGGCTTTTCGTAAGGGCATCGCTCTCATTCGGCGCTGATTTAATTTTGCTGGCCAATCATTATGAGTCACCATCACATTTGACAGATTTAGTTTACATCCATAGAGGTAATTTATCATTTAAATCAAACATGAATATTTCAGTGATTGTACCAGGCCGCGCGTTCAATCATACAACATTCAACCTTCACAGTTGTGCTCCGCCCTCAGGGCTGGCGATTATTTCAACCCGCCCTATAAAAATAAAACTCATTTAGCCTTGCAATAAATTAAGGCTTACGATCCTTCAACGAGATTCAGTGTAGCTGAAATTTTCTTATCTTCTTCCACCAACACATGCACATAAGGAAGATTCATTATTTTATATCATGTTCGTTAATTATACAATAAATTGACTCGCACCTTCATCCTGGTGAGAGCGAGCCTCATGCCCTGCATCATCTGCGGGTCCGTGACGGTGAAGACCTCAGGCTCCACCAGCGAGCACAGCACAGGGAACGTCAGCTCACCCACCTAACGTGGGAAAAGTAATCTCGACGTTTTGAAAAGAACAGTTCGGAGATATTGTGCAACGACGAAACACCTATTGTGCAATTTTCGTTTTCAAAATTTTCAAAGGTCGTTTTTCAAATCAATGTCTGTTCTATACGCTTTCGTTTTTATATAAAAAATATAATCATTGAGTAACATCATAAGTCATGAACGATCTTCATTGGATAAGTTTATAGTTCATGAAGTATTAACAAGCTGAATCGTGATGAGGTAAAATTTTAACTTACGTCAAATGGAGTCTCTGATCAATTAGGGTTTAGGTTCCACACGAACAATATAAATCACATGAGAATAAATATTATACACCACGTCAAGACGCGAGTGACCTGTTGGGTCCTGATGGAGTCTGCGACGGTAGGCAGGAACTGAGGCGGGTTGTGCCACAGCCTCTTCTTGGCGACCAGGCTGCTGCCCAGCTCCTTGCCCGCCGGCTCCACCGCGTACACTGAACACATAATGCTATACAACAATAACGTTTTTTGTATACGGTGTTAAATAAATGAAGTAGTAGACGGAGACAAAAAGCATTCAGTTACTGCACGTAGCAAATTATTGTGCCGAAAGTAAATCATTTCAATAGAAAAGTATTAGAATGTTTAATTCGGGAAAGTGGAATTATTTCGTTGACCAAATTGCCAACCTTTGCACTGAGGCCGCAGGGCTTTGACGGCCACGGCGATGCCAGCAGTCATGCCGCCTCCACTTATGGGTACCAAGATAGCGTCCAAGTCCGGGACCTGAAGAAATTATACATCGTTGTATTCTATTATGATAATGAAAATGTTCCTAAATGAAATTGAAATTTTGCTAGGCAGATGAACCAACCTATTCTGTAACTGTAATCGATAGAAAATAATCGACAAATAGATCATATAATTTACACATCTTTCCTAATCCATTTTTCATCCTCTACAAAGGCATCGTTAGCTGTAGGAGAGCTTGAGTGCCACTACGACGTCTGCGTGTTCAAAGTCTGTGTTTAGAGCTTGGCACCTTAAAAATATGGGAGTGTTCGAGACATCATCCGAATCTGAAATTGTATTTTAATGGAGGAATAATGAGGGAGGCATCACAAAACAGACTGGATTAAAAACTGAATCGAATTTCACTTTAGCGCAGACTTAGAATTCAAGAACGAGAGTTCAATGGCTATCTTCGGTGAACAAAAGTTTGAACTATTCTTTCTTAGAATCTTCACCACTTTAGTTTAAACACTACCATGACAACAAATCAGGTTGTCTTATTTAGAAATTATCCGGGATCAACTATATTAAGTAGTGTCGAGGTTAACATGACAGTACCAATACACAGTAGAACAAATCATGTAGAACAAATATTGTAGAACAATACAGGACAGAACAAATCATGCAGAACAAATATTGTAGAACAATACAGGATGGGTCGTGTGGTAATGTGGGTCGTGTGGTAATGTGGGTCGTGTGGTAATGTGGGTCGTGTGGTAATGTGGGTCGTGTGGTAATGTGGGTCGTGTGTCAACACTGCTACTGATTATTGCCGTAACTGCGGGTCATGGAGCTTCCATCAAGAATATTACTTATCGTAACCATTTGGCGTTTAGAATAATTCAGTCTGATCGTACCCGTATTCTGAATATATCAGCCTTATTATAACATTATGAAATTTCTGATACCCGTAACTGTAACGCATGTGATTTTAAATAGTGAGAATGAGAATGTTTTTCATGATTTCTACTTGGGATTTGGCAGCTAGAACGCCGAAAAAAGAATGAAACTCAACCGTGAGAATTGAAGACTCATCATTGCTTCCATTATTTGATTTGAGCGATTTTTTACGAGGTTTAAATACCAGTGTCATTTATTGAGATAAGTTAGACGAGTTACTCATTATCGTTCTCCGCCATTATTCATTCATAATTTGATCTATGCTTCATAAAATTAACGAGTTACCCTTCGATCGCTTGGCACTTGATGTCTGGAGTATCGTTAGGCACCACAACGCAGCACGGCAAGCCTGCGCACTCTGTGTAGTGCAAAATATCTTGTTTACAAGTACTTATATTATAAGCTTTTTTATATCGCAAGTTCACTAGAAATTGTAATGCAGTGAAAATGCCAAATAAATTCGTAATAACTTAGGCAATCAAATACAATCAATGCGTCTGTATGGATAAGAAAATTTACGCTCCTTTAAGACTTGAAATTGGCAATCATCGTTTTTTATAAGGTATTTAAAAGCAAAGAAGAAAGCGCTAAGCAAATGAATTTGCTCGGCGTTTTCTTTGCTTTTAAATTCCTTCTATATTTCCAGATTATTATGTGTTTCGTGTAAATTTGGCTTTTCTCTATTGATTGTCCTTGTATTCTCTATATATTCGAACCGACGATGGAGCTGGCCTCCATCATCGGAATAAAAGAACGCGACAGAACGTAAAAAATCGTTTAGAATACTACCAGAATATATAGTAAAACGCGTGCAACAAACAACATACGCATATAGTGAGCTAAAAAATTCTTCAACGCATTTTTAGACTATATATTTTACATTCATACCTACAAAAATACAAACTTGTATGTTTACTTACTGGAAGCATAGGCTACCGCTTGGCCGTGGTTTCCGGTGCTGTGGGTGACTATGCCTGGCAGCTTCTTGCCGTCCTTCTTACTTTCCTCCATTGCATGGAACACCTTTATAAAAAAATATAGTTAACTACTGATCAAATCGAATCAAAAACTATTATGGATCGTCATAAAAAAACAGAGATTCATTATGATCATAGTTGAGACTTTATAAGGTCAACATTATTGTAGATGCTGTGTTTAGTGAATTATTTAGTGTATTTCGTGTGTTTAAAATCCTGGCTAAATGGCATATACTCAACGCGTTGCCGGCACCTCTGGCTGTACAAGAGCCAGTTTTCTGAAGTTATATGGCATAAACTCACTACATTACAGGGGCTATAAAAGGGCCAGTTTTTTAATCTAAATGTCATATACTCACCGCGTTACAGGCACCTCTGGCTTTAAAAGAGCCAGTTTTCTGAAAGTTCTCGGCTTTGAAGAAGAGCTGGAGACCAGCGATCTGGTCGAGGCTGCTGGAGCTGAGGACGGGCGTCTTGTGCACCCACGGGGCAACCCGCGTCGCCGCCTCCTTCACCATCTCCAGGCTTATGCCTTCTGTGGCCAACACCTTGTCCATCTCATTGACTATTAAGCGTCTCTATCACAAAATCGTGTGATATTTAGCATCTACTGGCAATGATTTGGGAAAATTGTCAACATAATATTTTTTTTTAATATTCAACGGATGTGACTTAAAATCATATTACTGCCCAATACGTGCAAAAGATAGTAAAAAATGGCCTACTACCTGTGAAGAATTGCTACGCGACAACGGATTGAACTCTGATTAGCTGTTTTGAACGTACGAGCCCGGCTTTGGCATGGAATTTTCATAAGAGACCGAATGTATCGGTTAAGAAAATTGTGTGCTAAAGGGCTCGTTTCCATCCAAAATAATATAAATACTACAATCCTAGTCTTAAATTCACTTTGTATGTGGCGTTAACTTTTCAATAGCAATACATCACGCTGCGATAAGACACTAATGAGTACATTGTACGGTTCTTGGGTTATGTTATCGCAATTTCCTCTTCAAAGTATGAAATGAAATTATGAGGAAAATTCCAATCAAAGTGAGTTAAACTATCAAGCTTGCACAAATCAAATGTATTAATAAGGACGTGAATTATTCTCAGGTTGCTTTCGCTGATATATGCTTGTGCACATGGTCGTTCGAGTTGCCTTCACGATGAAGATGGCCAATTAATAAAAAGACGCAAATCGTAAGAGAATAAAATGCAAAAAGCGGCCAAGAACTTAGAATCAAATTACTTACAACTAACAAGGCTGGCGAATTCATAATGAACGAAAACCTGACGCTGCATGTCATTGTCATTTCCAAAGTATTCATATGAGAAGTTTTGAACAACCGCCGGTCACTAAATGACAGAAGTCGCAGGTACTGAGTGAGGCTGCGCAACTCAAGCAGCCTGCGACGGACAGATGCATCGTTAGATAACAATTTTTACAGTCCAAAATAACGAATGAAAATTAGATTATTATGAATAATTTCAATAAAATAAACAGCTGGACAATTCAGAGGTTGTCTAGCATTGATTCATAAATTTAGATGCAATAATTCGAGCATGAATTCTCGTACAATCGTAAAATAAAAACCTAAAGAAAATACATCGGAACAGCGGAAGCAGTTCCATTCGTAGTTGTGTGATCTGACAAATCCTCAGCCAACTGATAATTAACTGGCTGCCTTCGTCGACATACATCAACCTTCGATTTTATTTAATACCATCCAGAATAAGCATAAAATATTACGATTGAAATGATTAAGCAAGTGGGAGTTCCTAGGGAGGGCTAGTTCCCTTGGATGCTAGTGAAGGCAAGCATCCCCGTGAGGAAAGCTGTGCAGGTGCATCAAACATTAGTAAAAGTAATAGCGGTGGCAGCGTTTATTAGGCCATTAGACCTGTCGCTTAATCTGAACATCGCAAAATTTTCACAGCTTTTTGCGGTCTCAAGTTCGGTTGTTGCGGTCTTTTACTGCTTGTGGCGGTGCTGGTAAAATAATATTGGTATTGAGCAATAATAGCATCATTTATATTAGAAATAATAATAGATTTGCTGAAGCTAGAAAAGAAACCTTTGTGGATGTTACATGTAATAGCGAGAAATAATCATGTGGATCTTAACTCACGTTGCTTCACCCAAGATACGGTATTAATGAAATAATAATTAGGAAAATTTTTATTATATTTATGTTTCCTTAGAAACATTATTTCTGTGCTCCCTAGAAATACTGAATGTAATAATTACCTGCAAATAATACGAGAAAGCTTTTCTTTGTTTGTATCCTCTTGTCTTCGTATTCTCTTCTGTTGTAAGTACACATCGCAGCATTTGAACCTCTGTTGACAAACGCTCTTCGGCAGGTCTCTCCTTATCATGCATGATAGAACAAGTCATTTGTGAATGAAACTTTCACTCATTTAGAAATTGGACTTCACAATATTCATCAGAAATCTAATGGTACCTCTGGTGAATGAAAGAAAGTCGTTCACTTTACCGGGCGTAGTTATCTGGATGACTTTTACCTACACACATCAAAATTGCAGTACATAAACTTTTCTTGATATAGATCGATGGCTTGTTTAGTTCGACCACTAAAACTTAAAAGATTAAATATAAATTACTATAAGAACTGTTAAGAAAATTAATAAGAGCGATGCCGTAGTTTTCGGCTAAAATTATTGGTCTAAGACTTCAGGTAGTTTAATTATGCATCATCAGGTAATTCTGCCTCATCACACAAAACTTGAATGCAATCAACCAGAATAGTAACTTGCAGGCAATGACCAAAACTTTTTGGGGTATAAATAAAAACGAGTACTGAACAAAATCACTAACGATCTTAAACGCAGTGAGTGCAAGCATCCACAATGTAAGGCAACGAACACTTCGGCACAGCCGTCGACGCGAGATGCGGCCTAATAGCTTAAGAATCTCCAACTTATATCAGTGCACGGTATAGATACGGCGATCATTTCAACGCATCATTATCATTCCTCAGTCTCACCACCGACGAGTTCATCATTATCATTACTCAGTCTCACCACCGACGAGTTCATCATTATCATTACTCAGTCTCACCACCGATGTGTTCATCTTGATCATTACTCAGTCTCACCACCGATGAGTTCATCATTATCATTATTTCCTTTTGTACAGGCATAGCATTTCATGTCCCGTTAGGTAGTGTCAATGGTAGCATAACAAACTCAAATTTTACAAGAGCATCTGCTGTGGAGTACATCGCACCGTATGTCACGAAATGAACATTAAGAACGGAGTGAACGGTCACGGTCTCGGTCAACAAGAATTTGTTCTAGTCAAAAGTAACTTACAATGAACGAAGGTCTCAAATGGCCAGCGCGCTCACGCTTGCGAGCATTAGCCTCTCATGGACATGAACGAATAAGGGACAAGCGAAAAAACAACACAGACGAAGACATTCATATAAAATGTTCATACGAGACGTTGGCTACCCTGCATCGGTCAGAGAAAAGAAATGCATTGATCGGAATGAGTCAGAATGATGAATCTATTAAATAATCGTCGATACCTGTTTTACATCAAAGACCTGTTTTAACTGTATAATAAAAAACATGCGTCCAAAGCATTGGAGTCTAAAATAAATCTCAGACCGTCTCAGACATTATTCACTTCAGAAAATGCGGAAGCAAAATCGTCCCCGCTTTTTTTTCTTGTGAAGTAAAGCTAAAGCTAAAGGTTTAACAGGAACAACACCAATATAAGAGGAAAACGTGAACTTCTAACCAAAGAAACTTCAACACACAAAATGAACCGGTAATGAGATACAACGAAGCCAGCGGCAAGATGCTCAAAAACGGTGCCCTAGGGGACGTGAAATCACCTACTCCTGACGAACCAAGTCACGCATCAAAAGAAAAATCTAATTAACAATTGTTGAGAAAATTATAGAATCCAGAACAACAGCCGCCTATAATATTAGGAACCAAGTTTATTATTCCTTGTCGGACGTGAATCTAATGAAGTCGACCTCTCAGGGACGAGCGCGTTTGCTAGGACCTTCTTCTTCACAAGCATCACTTGCATGCCCCTCACCAACACCACCCGAGCCAACACCTCGGCCTCTGCAACAAACAGGCGACAAGAATCAGAACCATGTAGGATCCAGCCCACATCCAAGTATACTAAAACATTTCTCATACGATTCCATACAGATGAAGGCCCATAATAGCAAAGTGAAATAGAAATCGGTCCAAGTTCATCCAATCTTCTATCAAGATAGAAATGTTATTGATGTATATTAGATTCGCTCAACTCAGACGGAGGGGAAAAGTTCAACTTTATAAACAGAGCACTTTAAATGAATCTTATCAAACGAAAATAAAATGTACCCTCCAAAATCCAACAGGACGATCGATTGCAACACCGTTCCAGCTTATAACAATTCCGAATTGCGTTACCCACACAACAAAAAGCGACCCAGAGAAAACCACTCCAACTTTTGAACACAAGCAATGAGCGCGCATACGTGAAACCCCACACACGAGGCAAGATGCAACTGACCACACAAGAAAAAGGTTCTCTATTAGCGAATTAGCGTAAAATCTAATTAGCGTATTCATTGATGCCGTTTAAAATTACACTTTAGAGGTCAAGAGAGCAGTTTTTCAGTCGAGTATTCTGCGTTTTATTCCGAAGATGTAAATTGGATAAATACGTACGCAAACCGACAGCTTCTGTTTTCGATCCTTACTGTGAGCGACTGACAACACTACAAGTTAATAAGTTATTGCTAAGGAGAAATTAAACACCGCATGTAGTAAGAAGTCTCATTGAATTTCATGATTATACAAAAGTTAGAACGGAATACACGTGCTGGCAGGCTTCAAAATAAGAGCCATGACACCGCATCCTCTATGATACAGGTTTTGTCTGTACAAAGGCGATTGAACGTGGGTAGTTTAAAAGGAGCGAGTCTAGTTTATTGAAACCAGTAAGTCAAAGAAGAAATTTCAATGAGCAGAATTCTTTAGAAAGAGAAAAAATCAGTATATTAGCAAGTCATAGGAAGAAGGCAAGTCAACGTGTTTTCATGGCTCAGTCAAATTGGATGGTTCAGAATTGCAATTTTCGCCTCGTCTCGAAAAAAAAAAAACATCCGAGGGATGCTCAGACTACGAGCCCAGCTCAAGTCAGACACAAAATGTTAACCGGATTTGGCGACTGTCAGTTGTTGATTAACGAAGTATGGTTGAAATATCACATAGTAATAGTTCACTTTACTACTGAACAAATTATCTGGACCAAAAGTTTTGCAACCTTATAAGCGAGTGTTCTTTGTAACAGAAAGAATGAAAGTTATGTTTTGTTTGTTCTCAACAACGGTTGTGCCTAACAACCGTTGTTCATTGGCGCCAACTTTAAATCAGTTTATTACGACAAGAGCTATACTGAAAAATTATAAATAATTAATGAGCTGAACGCACGAACTTCTAGGAGCAAATTCAAAAATTTCTGCGCGTAGAATATGAACACTGAGTTGTAGAACACATTTTTAAAAATATCAATCATCTTTCTTCGCAACGAGCATTGTTTACTTCTGTACGTGGCGCAGCTCAGTAAGCGTCTTCTCACAAGCTTTGATTTTCATCATTCAGGATCAGAAGGCACCTAAGCAACCTGGTACTTTTACAATACATAATTCGTGCACTGAACTATGGAGCAGCACGCGGGCACAACGCGTTGAGCACTGCATGTAGCCATACATCGTGCTCGATAATGCACTACAGGGAACTTAAGAATAGACTTATTCGAATTAAGTACAAGCTACATCGGCAACCGAATGTCATGTGCCGATGAAGCCTTGAGGTAATTTCGCTATCTTAGGAATGGCTGTGGTTCTAAGACTAATCGTACTGATTTAAAAGGTAGCGTTTACATATTACTTTATTTTATATTGAGAGTGCGTTGACAATTCTAGGGCTGATGAATTAATACATTTTCGTGCCGAAAACCGAGTATCTGACCGAACATGAGGCAAATAAAAATATTCTTTACACCTTTAAAACGTGCGTGGTTCGTTCTCAAAGCTGTTTTCAAGAATATTTAACTTTCTCTTAGAAGTCATAGCAAGTAAACTCTTAATAACACAAGTAGTGCATATAAGTTTACTGTGGATTCAACACAGATGCTACAAGTGACGTTTATAACAATGATATATGCTGCAGGAATAGCAATCTGGAACCTATAACATATGGAACAATATTTGCTCGAGGTCAATGAGCGCAATTTGAAAACCGAACTGACCGCAAGCAGAGGTATATCTGAATCAAGGGGAGTCAAAAAGCATTCAAAATCAGAAATAAAATCAATAAACTAGAAATTTGAAAAAGTAACATTGATCGTAACGCAGGTTGTGATTGATCAATCAATTACGATTTAAGAAAGTACCAACAAACTGAAACAACTCTAGTCCGGGCAGTTCATGGGCTAAGAGCGAGGCAGCCACAAGGTAATAGCTAGAGCCGTTACGACGCTAACCTCAAAAATCAAGTGACGAAAGCGGGCCCTCAAGAACACATCAAAATTCAGTACAATGATTAAATTATCAACTAAAGACACACAATAAAGCTTGAAACTAAATCAGGATAAGAATCGTATCATTTTTTAAATGTATGTCATGAAATCATAAGTTTTTACATGCATAGATGTGACTGGAATATAAATTGAACGAGGCATCATCCTTATAATGTTAAATAGAAACTTAAGAAATCACAAAGGAAGAAAAGGGTTAACCTGAGCAGTCCGAAAACAAAGGCAAAATGAATCAAATAAATCTGCTCTGGGGGAAACTGTAACACAAAGCATTGGAATGTTATAAAAATTTGTAGGAGCTAATAAAACAGAAACTGAGGAAAAAGCTCGAAGCAAAAATAATCGCACATCCATCCACACTACACAAATTTAAATAAAGCAATTAAATAGTCAGGTAAGAAGACACCGACAGTCAATGAAGCCTTGCATGTCGACGCTATCAACAATATCTAGTAATCAAGTGCAATAAATGCGAAGACCGTTGCTCAGCTCGTGAGAAACTGGCTCCTGGAGAACAATATGCAAGACGAAGCCATCGACGCTGCGAGCAGCAGTAATCTATGCGCGATAATAGAAATCAGACAGCGACAAAAGTTATAGCAAAACAAAAATCTAACAACATAATTATAATGACCTAGATGGTAAAATGACTCTAGTATTCGTCGAACATCTACACGATTAATTGCTAGTTATAAAATAGTACTATATTTACACAGGTGGGATGGCCATACAAAACTAACTGCTAATAGGTCAACACGTAGGCTTGACAGGCAACGCGTTTGATTTGAGAGATGAAGGCGGCGACGTCTCAAGAAGATGTTTGTTAGAGTTATGGAAGGTAACCAGCATACGGGGGCAAACTGTGATGAAAACCTCATCCAAACTCTTAGATATTATCACATGAACAATATTCGTTGTAGCCTCAACTTTTCTGACCAAACAGCTGGCAAAAGATGATAGAAAAGTTACTAATCCTTAACCGGCAAATGATTTTAGAGGGACCATTTCAAGTTATCGCAATTTTTCGACACATATTTGAAGTTGATGAACATCAGATTACATTATTTTTTAGAAAATTACTTCATTTATTCGCCTGTCTCGGCAATATTTAGGGTTCAGCGGGTGTGAAATAAGTCTCAGAAAGATTTCACTACAGCGCACGTATCATATGGGACAGCTTACAATTTACCAACCAATGAATTAACATGGAAAAGAAGTTTGGGAAATACGATTAATTCAAATGACTCGTGACACTTTCACCACAACCCCGAGGAAAAATAATTTCGACACAAACAAGCCGATAATAAATTAGACACATATTTAAGGTGGAAAATCCCACATGAACAGAAAACTGTGAAATGTTTGGTGTAATTTTCATGTCAAGGCATATTTAGCTGTTAGCTTTCAGACAAAAAATAGGATAGAATGTGAAGGACAGTTTATAGAATGTCACGAACGTTTCGTGCTGCGAATCACAATTGAATGAATTGTTGGGCAAATGCAAGGCTTGCTCGAATGAATAACGCGAGGGAAGAGGAAAAAACATGTGCACTTCCATGAACAAAAGATAAATAAAAAATAAAAATTGAAACGGGAACAAATCTGCAACAGAACAAGCGTCGCATGGAATATAATTTTGAATTTTCTGTACTACTCAATGTCCCGAATATCTGGAACACTCCTACAAAATTTCATATCTCCATAGTCTTGACACAATTTACGGAAATTCGAGGCTCGTTCAAGAAATTTAACTTAATTTCTTCCCACGGTAAAAAATTGCTGGCAGAATAAAATTTTGACACATGTTAATATATATCATTATCATTTTGGGTTCGACCTCTTCCTTGTAAACAACTTGGTTGGGTCAACCAAAAAATATTTAAATTCATTATATTAGTTAGCCTTTAATAACTGAATTACTGCAAAATGATTAAATATTGATCCCCAGTTACCCCAGACGAATTTATATCCCTACCAGCCGCCGAACATCCAAACCCCGAAGCGATGCTAGCAACCTCACTCCCCACTCTCGACTCCAAATAGACCCCTATTCCCCCTCGAGCCTTAATAGCTCCACCAGCTCCTGAAGAACCAAACGCCCCCCGCGACGCCCACAGCGAACACCCCCATAAGAAGCGGCCGCAGTATCCACCTCTTACGGTACTCCCAGGCCTCCGTGACGCGACTCTTCTCTTGAATTGCCGTAATTTTCGACCTCAGCGACGCGTTGCGCTCCTGCCGTGTCTGTCTTCGTCGCACCTCGCACGCCCTGAGCAATGGAGTGGCGTTAAGACTTCACAGAAACTTATAACAGTCACATTTTACACGAAACCCTTACGAAAATCCAAGAATGGAATACGGAATGGCCCATCTGTTTTTTAAAGCCTTACGAGCTGAGACACACATGATAAAAAATCAGTTCAATTTTCAAAATTAACAGTTTCAATTATTCGTAGTTGAATGAGAACGTTCAAGTTCCAGAAAGGGTGGAGTTTAAACTTTAGTTGGCGATTCATTTGTGGGATCAGGTCACCCGGTTGAATGGAACTCAGTTTTTCATCATAATCGACATAGTAAGAACTAGTTTTCAACTCCTGCAACTTTACATTAAAATCATTTCAAGAAATTTGCTTTAAACCCTTTTTACTGCTGCTAATATCAATTACCTGACGTTCAAATTGGAATGTCATTTAAAACGGTTACTGTATCAGTGGACCAGACTAAACAAGTACTTTTCTTCAATAATTTTGAAAATTTAATTTCCATAACACTTGGCTCAGAGCAAAAACATAAAATACTAAACGTAACATTGAAGACATGAGTCTGCCATTTGTATCACATCGTTGAGACAACATCGGTGAGTCAACATCGTTGAGACAACATCGTTGAGACAACATTGTTGAGACAACATAGTTGAGACAACATAGTTGAGACAACATCGTTGAGACAACATCGTTGAGACAACATCGTTGAGTCAACCATGGTTGAGACAACATCGTTGAGTCAACATCGTGGAGACAACATCGTAGAGTCAACATCAACATCGTTGAGACAACATCGTAGAGTCAACATCAACATCGTTGAGACAACATCGTAGCGTCAACATCGTAGCGTCAACATCGTTGAGACAACATCGTAGTAAACATTCCTTAGCCTGCAGAGATACTGACATTTTAGTGGCAAGTTCCTCAGGAGACGAGGGCGCCTCGTCGCCATCACTCGGTGACGTGACCCTGGCCGGAGGAGGGCGAGGAGGAGGAGGCGGGGTCGGGGGATGTTCTGGGGACGACGGCAGGTCGGGGAGGTCAGCGTCACCCAGGCTTGCTGCACCAAATATTAAAGGCTACAGCAACGCTACGTATAGGAACCAAGTGACAAATATTAAAGGCTACAGCAACGCTACGTACAGGAACCAAGTGACAAAATCTAACACATAAACTGAAGGTATTAGCGATGATGCGTACTACGGTATCTATAGCAGCTCAACGTGGCCTGATTTGGGCTTTGATTAATAGATTAAGTTTCGCCGTTCATTCAAAATTAGTACACGGGGATATGGAACACAAAAAAATAATTAAAGAGTAATACAAGTAAGTGATCAAAATATGTGTGCACTCTACACGACAAGAAATACAACAAACGGAAGAACCACACAAGGAATAACCCCCTTACTGTTAGTGGTGTTGTTGCGGTGCACGACAAGAGGCTCTTCCTCTTCCTCCTCATCATCATCATCGTCCTCACCATCATGATGATGATTGTTGTTCAGAGATGGACCAGTAACATCATCATTATCATCACCCTGCAGTTTCTCCCAGATCTGCGCCTCGGTGACGGAGCGCGTGAGGGAGTCGGTGCGAGGCGGCGGGCGTGGGGGAGGCGCGTCTTCGGCGGCCTCCTCTGCCTCATCGCTGCTGCTGCCGTCGTCTGCAGGGTTCACACCGTTGCCCTGCGCACGAAACGCGTCTCGTCACGCCGTGTATTGAACCATTTGATGCTAATAACATCGTTAATGCGTCGACAGACACAGAGTTCATAACTTCATGTATGTAGTCCGTCCAGTCAGTTTAAATAAAAATATTGTATTTCTACAGCCTGTTCCGAGCCGATTTTGCTACCGCTACCATGACGCATTTCTGCCTGTCGGGATAATTTACTCAGTAGCGACCACGCTCTCAACAAGGTCATCGTGGTGTTGATTTAAGTATGAATCTATCCGTACGGTAGAAAATTCGTCTGTCGTGGTATAACGAGTAGTTTCATCACAATCCAATTGCCACAAAGCCAGCCGATTTTTGCTACTTATTTTCATTATCTATTAAATGTTAAAATTTCAAAATGTTCAGTTCTATCAATCAAACTTCCAATTATATTATTAGCCATGGAATCATTTTTTCACCTTTGAATTTTGCCTTTAATTTTACATAAGATTGTAGGAATAGAATTGAGTTGTATTATGTGTCGTAATTACCGTACGCGTTCCTGCAAGTCAAATAATTAGTAAGGGTTCATTCCAGCCGACACCCAAGTGTCTTGACTACGGACGTCGCCAAGCTATTGTTGCCTAGACAGGTAACAGCTATTGTTGCCTAAAATGCCTAGCAACTTACGGACCATCCAATAAGTCCAGCAGCCATCTCAATCAATCGTCAGATATGGAGAGATCGGGTTCCAACGGCCTGATCCCTTGTGAATCAAGTCACGAAAAGTTCAAGATTCAAAAGTTCAAGAATCATATTTCTTCAATGCCGACACTTCTATTCTATTGTTCCCTACACCAGCAGCTACACTGCAGCGACCAGCACCTCCACAGCCAACCAAGGACAGACAAAAATAATGCTAAGCAGGATGTTCCCCTAAATGCACATGTCAGTCGACTAATATCAAGTCCAACCAACTTACGCCTCTAACACTGATAAACGGCAATGACTTCCAAGCATTCATCTTGGTTTCTGCTCTCCTTCATAAAGAAATTATATACGACTTTGAAAAAAGGATCAGGATAGGCAGGCAATTATTCATGCTACGGTGATTTTTTAATCACTTTTTCATTTTAAAACTCGAAGTATTCGCATGGGAGCGATCCAATTCATGCCAAAAAAGGCAGCTTAAGTGGCATGTTAAGAGGTAGGATTTATTAGTCCTTTGCAAAAATCGGAAAACTACTGCGTGAGCCCGTACAAAATTCACTCAACATCCAATAAGGAACGTGCGATGGCTGAAAAGAGTCTACTGATCAATTTTTTAATTTTAGGCAAATGCTTGTAATGAGGAAAACTAATCACCAAGTAGTAATATGAAAGACTTTTACATTGCTTTCGAAAATATGTATAGCACCCGCTTGCTATAATACGAGAAAGCAGTAAATCCTATTCTGAGAACTCAGTAAAATGATCAGACGCTAGGACCAAGTTTCGACCAGACAATTGTTACAATCCATACCTAATTTCAATCAAGAATTAGCAAGTAAAATATAACTCGCATTAAATGGATTAAAGCATGGCATTTCATTTTGCCTTTTAAATTACACCAGGTCGGGCCAGTGAAATAAAATAAAGCAGAAGCAGTTACATAAATAATGATGAACGTTAATTACAAAGCGCGTAGCGGTTAGCATCGCCAGTTGTTTATATGTGAAATATCAAGCATCGCCAGTTGTTTATATTTGAAAGTGATGGTTTGAGCAAGAGGGCTTTTGATTGAAACAAATAATAAAGGAGGGGAGGGGGTAATGACAGACCAATTGATCAAAAGGTGAAGTTTATTAGTACACTTTAAAATATAAACAGGCTGGGACAGACTTGCTACAGCGAGGCTAAAGAAGCTACTATGGTACAACTACAATATTTCTTCATACATATTAAACAAAATTAAAATATAAGTACTCTGGACGGAAGCACAAAAGCAACGGATAGAAAGTACAATGAAAATGGCTAAGATACAAATAGTAACATGCTTTAAAAAATTGAGCTCATCTACTAAATGTGACAGAAAGACAATGTCTAGTGGACACGGTACACAAAAACAGAAATAAACTACGTAGCTACTACTAATACTTTGGAACAAGAAGTCCTACAACTTAAAACTCACGTCAGCGAGAGTCAGTAATACTACATTTACCGTGGAGTGACCATTACAGAGAAGTGGCTACGCAACCATAGCGTGACAGTTCAAATTTCAAGAAGTGGCGGCGAGAAGCAAAATTCGTACAATAAGGAAGCAGCCTCGCTAGCTGGTGGTTAACAGCGTGCATCAGAAAATGTGTAACAATCGTAAGCGATTATAATTATCTGCATATATTGAAATAGAACTAACGATCCTCAGAGTATTTCAATGCGTTTTAATAAATGAGAACGGAAGACCATGCGTTTTAATAAATGAGAACGGAAGACCAGGAATTGAGCAGCAGTTTTGATAACCTGTCGATTGCTGGTCAAGGCTGCGTATCATCAATACTGATTCACTCCACTACAAGCAGGATATGGCGGACTGCAGCTAACGAGCTCGCACGTTAGAGTGAGGATAATAACCTACGCCAGTGATAATCGAAAGATTAAATTCAGACAAAGAATTCTCAAAATGGGAAAATAAAAATATCAGAACACCAGAAGTTAACGTTAAAAGGAAAAATCATTAACAATGTTTTTGATAATCATTGAAAAGATATTGATGAGAAAAGAACGAACGAGTGAGAGCATTAATAAGAGTAACCACGATATGTAATCTAACGTTGTAACAATCTTGAAGAAACCTAAAACAAGATCTAAAGTTGCAGAACCCTTAAGTGTTCTTTTCGCTATAAGTACCGAGAACCTCCGCTTAAAGCGCTTATAATACAAATAAGCAATTTAATCCGACATCTGGAAGCAAATTGATTCAAACGAATCAGTCGGAAAAATGCTGGTCGATTCCAATGCTGCTCAGAAATTGCTCTGGTATTTTTTATGAAGAAAATGATGAGAAAAAGGAAGCAAAGTTTCTGACGATGGTACCAGGAGGGTTTAACAGTATCAACAAAGGTAATCTCAGAAGCTGCATAGTACAATACTGAATTTTTCGGGTGTAATGGCTTCTAGAAACCTGCAAGCGGTGTGAACAAATATACAGTATAAACAGAACCGCAGACGCTACGGATCAAAATAACAGATAAGAGTACAACATGCACTTCGGCAGTCACATCACGCATGCAATGAGCTATGTTAAACATTATTCGACTCTCTTGCTAAACGAATGTGAGCTTTACGACAAAGATAACAGCGCTCAGGTGGTATTGTACATATAAATATAGTACATATATTGTACCGAATACTTTACGAGTTAGCGACTCGAGGATTGCTTTTTCAGAAACGGTTCCAAAATTTGTATGCTGTTAAACGGTATAAATTATAGTTTTGTGGCAGGCAATTTGAGGGTTACTTTTTAAACGGGACGTCAGCAAGGCAGCCTGCTCGACTATGCTGTGCTTGTTTGAGAGAAAGCGAGCCCATGCTCAAGACTAGCATGGGCTACCAAGTTATGAAGAAGTAAAAATATTCAATGGTCTCAATGACTCAAGAGATAAGAATAATCTAAAGCTTTCAAACTGAAAAGAAAATCCCATGTACGACTATGATATCAACGGTCAAACTTGGTCCATGATCACTTCCATAAAAGCAGTACTAACTGCGACGTTACTAACCAACTATTAGTAGTAAATAACAAGGTGAAATGAAATCCATTCTAAAACACGTGACTCTACTCCTACATCTCAAACTTAAGTAAACTTTTAAACTTTTCTTTGTGTAAATAGAACTTGTGAATACATATAAAGATAGAAAACTAAGTGTCCATTAAAGTACGACATTCGATCTACCTTAAACACTAGCTTAGCGTAAACCATCTCAAGTCGAGTGGCAGCTCTTCTAAAATCTAGTCATCTTGTTGCCTTAAACAAATTTTGGTTTAAGAATGCATAGATTTTACATGAGCAAGAAACATTGGCAAGTTCTGGAAGGCACGCCGTTATGAGAAGCGTTCTTAGTATGTCACAGTTCGGTAACACGGGACCGGTTACACGGAACAGGCAACACGGGACCGGTTACACGGGACCGGTAACACGGAACAGGCAACACGGGACCGGTACACGGACAGGCAACACGGGACCGGTAACACGGGACCGGTAACACGGGGCCAGGATCATGAACTTGTAGCGAGTTACGACTCCTATTCCACACCAACGCCAAGACATTTCAGCAAACAATGCGTGCAATAGACTCTGAGTTTGATTATACAGCGAGATAAAGCTATATGTTCGTAATCTTTGGATGGGAGAGATTCAGTTTGTCTTCACGATGAATCAGTTGAATCAGTTAAAGTTAACCTGCAAATCAGTTAATTGTTATACATTTAGCGCCCTAATCTGATAGTTTTCACGAAAAATTGAAGCTTTGGATCAATAAAAATTGTTGTACCTATATTAGAAAAATAATGTATGTAACTATACTTGATAGCTTGAAACTGAAGTCTGAAATCATCAGCAGAGCATAGCAAACCTACGATGAGCGACGCAAGTGTCACTCAATTAAATAGTGCCCGCGACGACTCTGGGGTCGATGAAGTGATGTAGTTTGATCTGTAATCCCGTAAAGACACAGCCCCACTTGTCCGTGTAACTCACGAGGCTGCCGTTGGTAGCACGTTGCTGCTGACGCAGGCGCTGACGGGCGCCCTGCACGATGGCCTGGTATGAGAAGCGCAGCTGGTCGGGCGTCTGGATGAGACCCATGCGATACCTGCGCATGTCCAGCAGCACCTCCAGCACCGTGCCAACGTTACTGCCGCACACACCCTGGTCCAGCTGCCCGATACACCAAATATAGTCTCAGTTATTGTCGTGGTATGAAGATAAAAATAATATATGAAGTCTAGCCTAGATGATCATGAACTAGTAATGAAGCAGTGAGAATTTCCGATCCGATAACGAGTATCAGAAATTTATGTCATTGCAAAGTAGCAGCTCCGCACTCGTTAGACCTTTCAAATCAAAATACAATTTTCATAACAATAAATTAAGTCGTTTTCCTTACCCAACGAAAGAAATGCGGAAATTACTCATTAAACTGTAGTAATGATACGATACACGACACAAGACGAGGATTAATTCAATGCACTGATGTTATTCCAAATGAAACAATAAATTACACTAACCATGAGTAGCAGTGTATCCACGAGGCAGAAGGTGCCGGAGCGACCAATACCAGCGGAGCAATGCACGATGGCAGGGCCAACGCTGGCGTCCAGGGAGCCGCTCTTGATGACCACGTTCAAGAATTTGTTGAAGGCTTCAGGTGACTGCGGCACACCGAAGTCTGGCCACGTCGTGTAGTGGAAGTGGAGGACCTCGCGGCTGTTGCCGCTGCTTGTCTCCGTCAGTCTGTACACAAAACCAGCGCGCCGCATGGGCTTAATGGGGGGGGGGGGGGGGGGGTTTAAGGGCATGCGCTTGGTACACTTATTTGCGTAGTGTAAAACGCGAATTGAATTTTGTAAGTTGCAAAGAAACGACAACCAGTAAAATAACTCAAGTAAAATATTGGGAAAATTATCAACAGAAATAGTAAATTTGATATGATCTCAACCTCGCTGCCTGAAACGATCGCTTAGCCAGGCTCGAAAATGAGTTCACTCAGTTTTTACAACATTTTGAGTAATTACTGAACTTGAAGTACCATAATCAACATACACATCATCATAAAGTTTCGCTAAATGTCGATGTACATATGACATCATGAACTTAATTCACTTAAAAAAATAAAGAAAATCCTGTCAGTCGTGGCTTTAGACAGTACCTGAGCACGCGGTAGATGAACAAGACAGTACCTGAGCACGCGGTAGATGAACAAGACAGTACCTGAGCACGCGGTAGGTGTAGTGGTGGTAGATGACAGTACCTGAGCACGCGGTAGGTGTAGTGGTGGTGCTTGGCTTCAGAGACGAGGTCGACCTGTAGCCCCACTCCCGGGAAGGTCATAGAGTCCTGGCCGCCGTTGCTGGAGCCCAGCGGCCAGTATTGGTCGCATTTGATCTACACCACACAACAGGACGAAGTCAGCTCACAGAAACATCGGGTTGCACAAGTTAAGTCATTATCAAAACTTATGCCACATAGATTCATCAAACTTTATCGGAGGCGCGAAACGCTGTAAAGTGTACATCATTTAATCATTTTTACTTGGCCACCAAGAGTTATTCATTAAAAATCACTGGACATGAAGAAGCAGCAGAGGAGTTCCTAAATATAACCAAAAATTCAACATCGGTGAAAAAGCATCAAAACATCGTATGATGGCGAAGCTCACGCGCGGTCCGGACATCTCTTTCCAATTGAATTGCGCAATTGTTCGTCTGGCTAATGTTCGTCTTGCGATAACGTTGCAAGGTTCGATGGTAAGGTCTTGTATCTTAAATAAAAACTTTACTATGCTCTCGCATTTCTAATTTTTTTTACGTGGCAAATACAGGCGCTATCACGGAAATATATCAATAAGTTAAAAATATCAAATTTTGAAGTCGTAAGTAGTATGGTGTAGGCGTCAGTACCTACGATTTATTTAGCCAAGTATGTGGTTTTTTAATCGAAGAAAAGGTTAGGTAGGTTTTACGTCAAAAAAAATAAACAAATGTACATGGAGGTATCAAGACTTTGAAAGTGTCCGTAAGAGGCTTGCACATTCCGCCGGTAAAAAGATAACCCGGATTGAGAGATAAGGGATCCAAGATAAGGCACATACTTTGATAAGAAGCTTCAGAAACAATGGCGCAATAGTAACTACAACTGAAAGTTGCTTCGATTATCTTCCACAGTAATTTTCTTGAGAAAAATAAATGAATAGCAAGTGCCATCACGTCGAAACTTGACGACATCTAAACGACTATTGACGATGGGCTGAAAGCAATTAGTTCATTAAAACAAAACCTGGACATTTTTTTGCAAAAGATACGTAAAAGACTTTCGCGATTGAGCACTCTTATTACGGTAAAAATTACTATTCTTGAACTCGCACTTTTTGGCAGCGCGTCTACAAATAATACCGGCTGCTGCACGAGATAGAATTTATCGAGTCAAATAAATCGTCAATGAAATATTATTGTCAAAGAATATCGCCTAGGTACTTCTTCGGGTGGACGGTCATGATACTCGAGTCGACCGCAACCAAATGGTAAGCATAGGGTATTGACCGATAAATTATAGCTTCCTGTGATACTTAGCCTACATGAAATGATTTATGCCCGGCATAACCTTGTACAAGATTTGACAACAAAGCGTCGGGATTTGCTCAATGCTCACAATTCACCCTAAGCAGGTAGATAACGTAGCAGGTAAATAACGGTTCAAATGAACAGGCTTATCACGTGAGCAGTGAGCAATGATCCCTGAAGATGTCTGATTCTCTCAATTGAGTTATGAAGGAAACATAACGTAGCTCGCAATATCGTAGGTACTCTCATTTATACCTTATATCATAAAGGGATTGACCTCATGGGCGACAATAAAATATTGCTGAAATTAAAACTAACACAGGAACCCCATTTTGAATAAGTAGTATAGGTTCGAAAACAAAAAAATTTAATAAAACCACAAACAGATCAGTTGTTGGTATCAGTGCATCAGTTCCTCTCAACACTTAGCATCCAGCCAAAGAATCCATTCAAAATTCAGAAAATATTAGTTAAAATGATATTCCCACTTCACCGTCTTTAAAATTAGCAAAAACTGACAAAGCAACAAGCTTGTTTGTGCACACAGCAGTACATAACCAAATGTGAGCATCGCACATACACTTTTCTTGTTACACTACACTACTTCAAGGTACCGTACCTCTTTACAATTATTAGATGAATAATTTCTTATGCAAAGTTCAGACACAAAACTCACCATGTTTTTCTCAATAGTTTTGTTGAGCATGATGATGCCTTTGGTCTGCTGCTGCCATACCATCAGCCAGAAGTGCTGGCTGGTCGTTGACAGCGGGCCTTGTGTCAGGATGTATTGCCGCTGCACACTCTCAACCTGCCATTACCATTAAAAGAAGCATGTAAGCATTCTTCATTCATACTAACACATTCTAACCAAGTTCATAGACCTTTAGGAATCTTTGTCTTTAATAAGTATATACTAATTTACTTCAACTAAGGAACTGATTCAGGAGGAAGATTTATCCTTTCTTCTTAGTAACATGATTCAAAGAAAAGTTCCGCATTACTTATGAGCAAATATCAAAGTCAAACTGTTCAGTTAGAACAGTGGTTCCCAAAGTGGGCGATATCGTCATATCGCCCCTGGGGCGGTGGAAAGATTTGGGGGGCGGTAAGGAAGAAAGACGCGGTAGTGGGGCGATGTGGAGGGGGGGGGGCAGCAGCCCGAAGTCGATGTCAGAAGTTCGAACGTTTATTTGACGATTTGTACACAACGCGTGCAGCACATGACTAACAGCAATGTTTTTTCACCCAGATCTGTTTTTTTAACCTCTCCAGGTTTACGCTTCGGACAAATTAACGGCTGGACTCGCGGCCGGTCTCACAGCCAATTTCCAAATTCAATGATTAAGGAATATCTCTCAAACTAATGAAATTTACTCGATGAAACTTGGTACACGTATTTATTAGGACCTAACGGTAATGTTTAGCTCGTGAAAATTTTTTGAATTTTGCCTTCATTTGCTTTTGCCATAGTTATATGGCAATACGGGCCGGAATTCACGGTGATCTGGGAATTTCTACCAAACTACTGAAAATATTTGAACGAAATTTTTAATTTACAGTCCTAATTACCGAACGATGATGTTAAGCTCATGAAAATTTTTTCGATTGTGCCTCCGTTAGCGAGTTTTTTTTTTTCATTTCACCTATTTGTGATTTAAACAGCAATACGTGCTTAAATTCGCGGTAATGAAGAAATTTCTTCCAAACTACTGAACAGATTTGAATGAAATTTTGTATTTAAATACCTAACCTCAGCAACGGTAATGTTTAGCTCGTTACAATTTTTTCGATTTTGCCTTCGTTAGCGAGTTATACGGCTATACGTAAACGGCTCTTGGTTAAACCGGCCGGTAGAAATAACGATCGTTTCTCCTATATCTGTATAACTCGCGAACGAAAGCAAAATATAAAAATTGTCACGAGCTAAACATCACCATTTGGAGGTTAGGTATTTATAGTCTCGTTGAAATCTGTTCAGCAGTTTAGAAAAAAATTTCGATCGCCGCGAACTTAAGCGTTAAATACCCGGCGATACGGGCCGAATATAAGGAAGTGTGAAATCAAGAATGACGGTGAAATGAATTTCGGCACGAATCACTGCGAATTTCGGCACGTATCGCAATAAACTCACGAATGAAGGTGAAATTTAAAGAGTTTTCACGTGCCAGACATCACCGTCAGGTCCTAATGAATACGTGTTCCAAGTTTCATTGAGCTGCGTTCATTACTTTGGGAGATATTACTTGATAATGGAATTTGGCGATTGGCCGTGAGACCGGCCACGAGTCCGGCTGTAAATTTGCCCAAGACGTCCTAGGTTTCTAATGCTGAAACAGTTAAAACAGCTGAAAAACATATTAGTTCACTAAATGGGGTTCTATTTGTGAAATACACAAATGTGTTTAACCTTTATCTTTTAAAATTGCAGCGTACTAAATTTCAAGAAAGATGCATATATATGTTTTTAGATGTGTCTGTGGGGGGCGCTAGAAGCTCACTAGGGAGCCAAAGGGGGCGTTAGCCTGAAAAAGTTTGGGAAGCACTGAGTTAGAATAACTTAAGCTACCACTGCCTATAATAACACACCTTAAGGAGTGAGGCATTGATGTAGTTGGTGGTGGGATGCTCGAGAATAATGCGTGAGTGGTCGTAAGGCAGCACATCTCTGTAGCGGTTCAGAGGTCGGTTGATGGCGCTCTTGGCCTCCGTCAGAGGGAAATCATAAGTTCCATCTGTGCGCACTTTCTGAAACACAAAACACAAAAGGCTCATCAACAGCTATTTACAAGCATCAGAAAATAAATACCATCAAATTTCAGTGAAAAAAAATACTCTCATTTGTGCGGGCATTGATAAACTTTGGTAATTACACATCTGAACATGATACCTTGTTCAGCTAATTGCTGTTTGCCACTGTAAAGTGTATAAATATCACAACATATCCTAAATAATGATGGCATTGCAACCTTGGCACACAATGTACACACATTTTGGAGCCAATATCCAAAAAAGTTTATTGACAAACACTATCACCCTTCTTGTATTGTCAGCCTTCTTCTAGAAGTTCTAAGGCACAATATATTGGATATCAATGTGTTCAGGCATACATCAACATTGGAAGTAGGAATTCATTTGTTCACAAGTTCAATTGTGTAGATATTTATTTTAAACATTAAATATCCAATTAATAACTAAATAATTTAAATCAAATCTGGCAACGCAGGACAGAGATTCATTTATATATAAAATAGGCCCATTGAAGGAAATCAAATGAGAAATATTCCAACAATAGCAATAAAAATTTGTCTCTAACTTGGGGTTCTGGAAATGTTTAAAAAGAACATGGTAGGATGGCTTAACAGACCTTTGACTATTTCAGTTGAAGAATTTGATTTCTTTATTTGTCTTCTTTCCCAAGATGCTGCAATTGGTGCTTTTGAATACCTTATTTTCAGCTATTCTGATGCACAAAATAAATCGATTTCCCAGCAATCAAAGCAGATTTCAAGAAAGAAATTAATATTGAGAGGTTCTCAGTTCTTATATGTATAAAAAATACATTCAAGCACCAACTCAAATTTCTTAAAAATTATCTCTAGCTTTGACTTAAATACTGATGTCTGGTATCAATCAGGCATCTCATTCTATTCGTTATATAATGATATTCTGAGCTTAGATCAACTGTGATTAAGATGTAATATTCACAAGACGTGGCAGAGATTGATGGAAAAGTACCTACTAGACCTCAATTAGAACAAGATCACGTGACATGTGACATGATCAAGACCTCAGTTATGGATGAAATTTGAAAGGCAACCAGTAACTAACTAGCATACCCCAATGTAACTAGGTTGACGTCTTAGCCTTTACTCGTTTGTATTTTCCATATTAACTTGTGTTTCCGAATGCACCTAGTCAATTGTTCATTCATACCTGTCCTCGGGTTCAGGTAGAACTAGTAATATTATTAGTCAGGTAGTGCTTAATATTGACACCTGACACTGACATTTCAAAATTTTTCTTCAATTGGGAGTGTTCATAACCATTTCATAAGGAAACATTGGTATAAAATGAAATTTACATTTTTTACAATATACATCAATACAAAGAGAAGCCATTTAACTGTAATATAATGCACCCTCATCATACAAGAAAAGAAGGAGCATCAACTAGGTTAGATAGCTAAGCTTGCAATTATTTTATAAATTTTGATTTTTGATCATGGTGAGGTGTTCTATGCATGGTGCAAATGATGTACAATTACCAATTGGCCAATGCACAGTAATGAAGCCCTAAACACCAAGTGGATGGAGATGGGAGCCATTTAGGAGATATGATTTCAAATGATCATAACTTTTCAAAGCATGCATAATGCAAAACAACAACAACAGAGGACAGCAGAGAGTGTGCAGTTTCCAATCTAAATCTGCTGTCATAGGAGTTTCAAGACAAGCCTCAGACAAACAAAAAATTCAGTTGTTACCACAAGGAAAAATGTGATGACCACATAGTGCTTGCATTTACAGAAGAAATAAAATGTAACAAGCAAGGCATTGAATGCAATTCAACCTAAGACTGCACTATGCAAAGATATTTTGTTTTTTATTTGGATTTTACTGTCATAGAAGTTTATTAAAATTTATATTAATTATTGGACTTTTTTTGTAATATCCTATTTACATGGTTTTATATTAATAGTTGTAGTAGTAAGATGGTTTGCTAGTGCAAAAAAAAAAAAAATGTTTCCAAAGATAGCTTTCTATAGTAAATAGCTGCTAATTTTTTTTATAGCACAAAAAATATGAAGTGCAATAATAGAATAGTTGTGTGCTGTTAGTTGATAATTGTAAAGTTGCATTATAATTGTCTATTGATTGTTATCTTGTTGCTATTGCAATATATTTGTTTGTAGGTATACAAAGTCTGAAGTACTTCCCTCCTGTTGCTGTTCTTGCTTCCAGTCTCCTTAAAAAAAACTACATCTGAACAGCTGACACAGATTCTGATAACGTACAAGCAGAAGAAATGTAGGATTGCACTTTGTAGATTCAGGAACTGATGCTGAAATGAGCCCATGAACATCATTACACAATGGTAATAACTGTACTGTTTGAAGATATATGTCAAAAACTTTCTAATTCCAGATTCATTCATACAAATCAAATATATGCAGGGTTGGCAATGATTAAATCAAAATGATTAAATCATGTGATTAAATCACTTGATTTTTTATAAAAAATCGTGATTTTTTTGATTTTTTCGATTTTTTTTTTATTTTTTTTATTTTTTCATATATTTAAATATATTGAGTGGCAGTCTCCAATTTATATTGAGGTATTGTTATTCATGGTTTAGTATAAATGTACTATAAATGACAAATTGGTATATAAACTTGTTGCCTTTAGTGTGTATTAGATTCCAATAAATTGAATGTTTTTGGTACAGAGGCATCAAGTGTGCAATACATTAGCTAGCAGCTTAGCTAATTCTTATAAGGCTATAAGTAGTCTTTAACTATTTGACTATTTGTTATATATTGATTACAATATACAATTTAAATGTGTTAGCTAGCTTATACAGGGTGGGGCAGAACTGATTGAACAGTTTTGGGGCAAAATAAAAGAGTAATGGAGGTACTGTGTGTATAGAGGGTAGAGTCTGGTAGATTTTTAGGACATTAAACTAGTGGATCTATTGATAGTGCTGTGCACTGTGCTATCAGCTACCTATCTGTTATGTGACTCTTCAATGTTTAGAAGATCTGCATTCCTGAAGTGTTTTTGTATATTGAAGCCAGTTAAATGGTCAATATTTAGCTTATTACCTTGCTCCATACAAACTTTACAAAGCTAATGAATAGACATAGTACCAATAATTGTTTACCCAAAATCCCTAAGTGGTAAACACCACCTTGGCCTGTTGGCCATTATTGAAGGCAATAAGTGCCCTTTTTAGCCATCCATTATGATCCATATACTGTTATTGTTGGTAGGCTAATTGCAACATAAAAAATGACACTTCAAAAAGACAAAAAAGTTTAAAAAAATCAAAAAAATCAAATAAATCAAAAAAATCATGAAAAAATCAAAAAAATCATTGATTTTTTATTTTTTTGATTTTTTTTTTAAAATCAAAAAAATCGCCAACCCTGAATATATGTGTTATATATATATGTTATATATATATTAGGGTATATATACCCTAAACCTATCACAAGGTCTAGTTATGCAATGGGCTTCAAAGCTACAACTCAGACTTTTGCATACAAAACAGTTTTCTTTACAGGTTAAAAAAAGTGAGCTGGTCACATCTTACCCCATTGGGGTAAGATGGGACCAGGTTGGGGTAAGACAGGACCAACTGGTAATTCTTTTGTTACAAGGTTTTTAATAAAAGTACAAACCTGATATTCAATATTATCCATCTAGAAACACATTATTTGATTAAACAATCACTTGTTACTGTTTTGTGTTGCGGGAAGTCAACTCTAATATCAGTCACATTGGAGTTTTTGTTGCAAGAAAACTTTGTTAACTCTTCAACAACCACATTTTTTTGAAGTGCATAAAATTTTTTTCCTTATAAAATTTCTGGTGATTACGGTCACTGAGTAGTGTATATATGAGTATGGAACATTGAAAATTGTATATTGAAAATTGTATATGTATATATTATCCACTAAAACTGAATAAATTGTGGTCCACTTTGTCTTACAAGATCCCAACATTAAATGTGACCATATGATCCATTTAGTCTTTTGAGCACAAATTATGGATGATATTATATAGCTGGCATAGTTAATTAACATTTTATACAGTACATTACTTTTGTGGGGTAAGATAGGACCACTTGTAGGGTAAAATAGGATCATTTAGTGGTCCCATCTTACCCCATGTCTGGTCCTTTTTTACACCATTTTAGAATACATGTCAGGCAGTGATGGTAGCAGGTAGGAATGCCTAGTATGTCTCAAAAGTTGCTTATTACTTGAGGTTACCTGCCTACATCCACAAACCAGGTCAAAATTTTTTTTGTAATTAGACAGAGCTTATTTCCCAAATAGGGTTAACTATTTTGTGACCCTTCTTTACATAGGTTTTCTTCAAAAATTAACAAAAAAATCATTATTTGCAGAACAGGGTTGAAAAAAATACTGAAATGACATGCAATGATTGCTCTAACATATTCTTCCATCAAATTAAATTCAGTGCAATTAGAATGCATGCCATGGGCTGGTCCTTTCTTACCCCATGAAGGCTGCGATCCTGTCTTACCCATTTGACTATACATTAGATCAGATTTTATTTCACAAAATTATGAACTTAGACAGTTCAGTGCCAAGCACCCAGGAAAATATCATGAACCCAAACAGTTTTCTTGACAATTTCCTAGTAGCAGTCATGTCAGATTGCATTAAAATTGCTTTGTTGCATAAGTGGAATATATCTATGAGCTGTTGAGCCATAACCCAAGCTTTGGAGATATTAGATTCCTGCTAGATGAATTGCCTACTCACTAAATAATCCAATTAGGCTAACTAAAGTGTAGAATGGGAAGTGGGATTCCAAATGTATAAAAAATTTGTTACTTTGGAACAGCAAGATTTCATTCATAAATAGAGAATTTCTATCCTGCATTCTTTCTTTTGCAAAAAAATAATAGGGTAAACGCGGTATATTCCGACACATTAAGGGTGCATCGAGAAATGAAAAACTATAAAAAAATAACTGTATGCGTTACTCAAGTTCTGTTTGCTTTATGTGACTTGCAAAACACCGTAC